ATCGAGTCCTTGCATAGAGGGGTACAGCGTTTTTATTTCGCTCTTTCCTTCCTAGTGTGAGCCAATGACACTCGATTTGTATTTTTGTCTGTAATGAAACGGTAATTATTCGGTGTGAAGGCGTTCCGCGTTTGTCGACAGTTCCGCGCTCCTTGAATGCCCTGAATTGCTGTGCTCAATCATCACATGGCGCCTGGCTTTTCATCGACCTTCCCCGTGACATCGCTGAGCTCATTCACCGGGCTGCCAACGTGCACCGTTGTACTCACTCTTCAGCTGGCTTTCAAAGTGAAACATGGTGATACCTCGGCCGCCATGGCCCAATGACCCCTTTGAGACGGCACGGTACGAAGTTCTTTCGCTGTTCACCAGCGCGATATAATGTTTTCACGCGTTAATGCCTGTTTACCGATCGAGTTAGACGCCTCAATGGGAGTTCCGCGTACTCCTTTTCACACCCACACGGCTGGTACAACATGAGGAGGTCTATTGACCTGTGGATTAGTCCGATGTACTCGACCGAGCTGATGGGAGTAGGTCGCTGGCGGTAGTAGCCGCTATGGCGCTCTATGGCCTCCGTGTTTGTACGTAGCAGCTGAAAGCATTTGTTTGTACTCTGTTACGAATTGCGTTTGATAGAGAGCTATGAGTGATGTTATGTCACATACCATTCAGATAGCGCCTATCGGTTGTTGGGCATTGAATACCACTCGTTACGTCTGTCGCTACCTTGAGGTCGATCTTTCCACGCCATTCCGTGTCCAGCCGAGCCCTGCCCAGCCTCTCCTGTCCTCTTGACACCATCACGGTGCCCGAGACCTTGTCACACCACGCCACCGGCGCGCCAGCCGGGGTCAGAGGTCAACAGATCCCCGACATTACGTCACCGTCTGCCCCGCCCCCATAGCCGCTCCGTCTGGCTGTCAGCGCCAATCATAGGTCAGCCTTCTGCCTACGTCATCTCAGGTGCCATTTCGCTCATGATGCAGTGTCACTTGCACACTTGATGCTATTCATCGTTTAGATGGAACTCGAGAATGGCGAAAGAGCTCGAAATTGCAAGCCAAGCCATTTGGAAGTAACAGGAACGATTGAAATTTAGAGAGGGAAAGGGAGAGAGGCGTAGAGGGAAGGAGGGGAGAGAGATGTAAGTGCCAGATAAAACAGCATTTTCTTCATTCGTGTAATTTCCTGTAACATGTGACCTGAATGAAAGTGACATTACGAAGGAAAAGAAGACTAGGGAAATGCCACCACTTTGTTCTTTTCTCTGTTCCATTTTCATCATCATTGACATTTTCATTTGCTGAATTCTCCCCTCACGCCCCCATAGTCGGCGGCCATTATCTGTCTGCTCGGCGTCCTTGGTCCAAGTATCTGTGCCTCTCCTGCTACCATGGAGCGCCTTCTGGTCTGCCCTGGGCCCGGCCGGCTCCGGGCGCAGGCACCACTCGGCGCTCAATGCTGGCCGCGGACGGACCGGGCGGCCTGAATCAGCGTCCGGGCGCCATCCGTCAGCGGCACTGAGTGGGTGGCGACTACGAGGCGAGAGTGGGTGCCTTCGCGGCCCTCCCCGACCCCTCCCCGGCCCTCCCAGGCCCCTCCCCGGTCCTCTCAAGCCACGCCCGACCCCTCCCTGCCCTCGCCCAGCCCCTCCCCGATATCTAACTAAATATCTGATTCTGAAACCGCAGCAAATAACAACTAATGACTACTGGGTGGATTTAAGTATGAAATAAACAAAACAATTTTTTTTTTGAATCGTGATAAATACCTACATGGCGGCATGAATTCGTGGCGACAGCTAACGTTATGACTAGCGCGACTGGGATCAAATATAGATATATTTTCCTCATGAAACTGATATATAAAATATGAACTTCGCGCTGAAAACCCTGTGAGGCTGCTGACATGAGTTACTTCTGTCCTTCCATCGCTGTCATATTTTATCACCATGCACTTGGGAGTCGAACACGACCTGGCTGTCGGCCTGAAGAGGCGAGCATGCCCTCGTTATATCCGTCCTGTCGGGAACATTTCAGCCGGCGGCGGAATGGAACCGGACTTGTCTGACGGTCTCACACGGCGGGCTCAGGTGGCCGGCTGCGCTCCAGCCGCATATAAGACGGCTCTGATACGATTCCTGATACCAGACAGCGCCATGCGAAACCCGATACCCACCGGCAATCACGGTGTTTGCCGCTGCCGACGTGCGCAGCGTCCGATGTCCCCCCCCCCCCCCCCGCCCGGCCCGGGTGACCCCGCCCCATTGCCCTGGGCCAGGGAGGCGGACGTTCGCGGCGCTGCAGCTAGGTTGCGCTATCAGTGCAGTGGTTTGCCGGCGCCGGCCGCTAACATGCCGTGGTGTGCCCCCGGGACAGACCAGCCCAGCCTACCCGACCACCCCTACTGCTTGCAGTTCCCCCGTCCCCCCTTCTGGGTGGTGGCCGCCCGCCGCCGCACCACCCCCACCCCGGTGCGACTGTCCCCGCCCGTTCCCACCATCCTGCTGACTGAAAAATGTGACCATTATGCTTAAATAGTGAAACTTATAGCTTGTCGCTGGTCAAAAGCCTCAGTACATCACCCGATATCAAATATGTATTTATGGGCACTTTTGACTTCATTCATGGCACATAGTTCCATGTAAGCGGAGGAACAAATAGAACCACTGGAATTGAGTCGCTTATTTATTTGATCACGGATCCCTCTGCTAGTTAGTTACCTTCAACGCTACCGCGTTGTGGCTTAATGAACCATTATTCACTGCCCTTACTACCTATCTCATATTTTTCTTTTATACACCGGGCTTGTGCTATATTTGAGTGATTTCAATATCATGCCATCAAGACCGGGACTGCTAGCCGTATGGATGGATGTCCTCCCCCGACAAGACTTGTTCCTGTGTGTTGCTTTCTACGCATCACTGATTTTTAGACCGGCCCACAATTGGATCCCGTTTCATAATTCCCTACGTCATTTCACCAAACATCCACTCCGAAGCTAGAGTTGACTGACCTTCTTGGCCCCCTTTCCCCACACGGCAATGGCACACGTTATCTGTTACTCTACTAAATTTTCATATCTATAGGTACTTCATCCAGAGAGATAAGTAGATACTACCGAAGATTTCTGCTAAGCGTTACGAACACAGCATGAGTTACACAATTCACAAGTAGTCCGGCACTGATTCAACAAACCGGATGTCGACGATGCTCGACACTATATCTTCATTAGTAGATGACTTTTCTGTGTCTGGCGTAAACTGAACCACTAATTCTCATTTTGATCCTGGTAATACCTGAGCTCAAAACATGCTACCGCCCCCCCCCCTTTAGAGAATCTTATTGGGTGCTTCACCAGCTGTCACCACCAATGCCACCAACACCTGTTGTCAGCCGTCATATCCTTGATTGCTTTGCTATTTGCATCACCTTATAGATGTCCCTGGGCCATGCCAGTCAGTTTCTCCTGATCCGACCGGCTGGCTGGCTGCCTGTGTGTTGACCTCCGCCCCGACTGCGTCGCGGCAGTGCCGAGTCACCCTGCAGGCGCACCGGTGGAGGTGTGCCACCCGGTGAAGTCACACACAGGTGTGCTGCCGGCACCCAGCTGCGGTGGCCTGCAGCTGGGCTGTGGACTGTGACTCACACCCGGTGACCTGCCAGCTCCCCTGTGGGTAGCGGGGGGGGGGGGAGGGTGCGTACGGCGCACTTCTAGTGAGCTTTGTTTTACAGGGGCTTAGCGATGGAAATAATCGGAAGCAAACACATGTCATGGACTCGCGGTGTAGGCCATTGCAATGGCCAATCAATGCATTGATGGAAATTATGTCCTGGCTTTTCATTTTCAGATATGAGCTAAAGGTGAACATTCACATTTATTATACGACTAAAAATACCGTAAATATTACACCGGGAAGCAACGACTGGAAACACCACCTCCATAAGCGCGTTAGATCTCGTCTGTTGGCGTCAGTGCGGCGCCGACACCGGTGTATGTGTCGGGTGCTGGTACCGCGGTAAAGCTACTCTCAAAGAGACCTGAGTGCGCCTCCGGCCCAACCGCGGATAACCTCGTTAGAACATCTATGGTCGTCACAGCGCCGGCTGACACTGCGGGAATCACTCTGATGGGAGCTCTTTGCAGCTGTCTGAACAGGCGCTGCGGTGCGACGAAGGTGTCGGGTGCTCTCGCATACAAAGGTGGCTGCATTTGTCATTTATTCTCGGCCACAGTAGTGCTGTGAACGGGCTTTCGCAGATTTTGATAAAGCACACGGTCTTTCAAAGATCATGGGTGCATATTAACCCCGCTGTCAACGCGCCCCAAGGCTATCAAGCAAACAAGCAAACAAACAAACAAACAAACAAACAAACAAACAAACAAACAAAGTCCTCCAAATCATGCAGTTTATTGTGGCTCCGCTATTTGGAGGCGGCACGTTCCTGACTTGATTAGTACTCATATCCTTTAGCGTAACTAGTTTGGTGTCCTGAGGATTTCTCGTCAAATAATTCGGGCAACATTTCAGCTGACAGTCATGTGCATGAGAATGGCTGAACGTGTCGCTCGTCTCAGCTTATCCTATAAGTCAGCACCATCACTCGGCTCTTAATATCTTAAAAGGAGGAAAAGAGTAGACATGTTTAAATCAGATTAATTAGATGCAACCGAACTTGAACCTGGCACAATCATAAATCGAAACATCAACAATAATAACCATCAGTAAATTTCATTTAAAAAATCAGACTGCCATCCTCACCTCTGAGCACCACCTCTGTCCGTGCTTGCTATTGTTTTCCTCGCCGGCAGGTCCATTCTCCCTCTGATGACAGCTTTGTTCGTGATCAATGTTGTTTTCTACCAGCAGGTCGGATCTCCCTCTGTGTACCGTGGTTGTTCCCGCTCACCCTCACTGCTGTCTCGGCCGGCGATTGGGACCTCCCTCTGCGTACCTGCTCCGTTCCCCTCTAACCCCCACTGCTCCCTGCCGACAGGTCGTACTGAGGAGCTGGACGTGATGCTCAAGTCGCACGTGACGCGCTACCCGACCACCCAGATGGTGCTGGTCGGCTTCTCCATGGGCGGCAACATCGTCACCAAGTACATGGGCCAGCCGGGCGTTCGGCGCGCGCCCAACATACTCGGCGCCGTGTCCATCTGCCAGGGATATGACGCCCAGAGGTGAGTGCGAGAGGATGTCTAACGAGTAACGAGACTAGCTTCCAGTCACATGGAATGCCGTACCTAGACCTACTTTCATGTGCAATCCACTGATCAGTGTCTTACTTTTATCTACCTCCGTGTCGAGCACAGTGGGTGATATCCATCGTTATATCAGGGCCCTCAGCTGATCATTAACGCCAGTTACCTGATACCTGGCAACGCTAGGGCTGGTTGAATAGAACTCTTTGAAGTAAAAAATCCCAGGGGTTAAGGGCTCATTTCGTCCTTATGATCTGAGCATCAGGCAGTGCTGTCAGATCCTGTTCGCACCATTGTTAACATGGGCCGCGGGACAGGGACTATCCCAGCACGGGTGGGTGTGGGACGCACGGCCCGGGTGGGTGCCAGGTGGGTCGGGTGCGGGACAGGTAGGCGGCGGAGGAGGCGCTGATTGATGGAACAGAATAGACGACAGACAGGAATGGAGATGAGACAAAGGATGAGACGCACAGCGGCGATAGCTGCCGTGTAATCCGGACGGCGCTCGTCGCCCGTGATATATGGAATCAGCGCTAAACGGATCGTTTTGTCATTGGGTAGTGACTTTTATAGGTTTCTGAAGACAGACAGTTTCTGCAGATAGATGCAGTGTTATTCGATGCTTGTGTTTCCCGCATAAAGGCTGATATAGCCGGTGAAACTCGTTTTAGTATTTGACTAGAGGTACAGGTTTACGCGATAACTGTATGTTTTGATTTATGTTAAGTTACGGGTGCATTAGTTTGGGTGATTGACTTGTATTTTTAGATGTATTATTTGGATAGATTTGGGTAGCTGTTTTTAATTAAACTGTAAGGGTTGGTGAATATGGTGATAGGTGCGGGGTGTTCAAGTGTTTTGTATGTTAGGCCCTTTTTGAACTTAACCCTACCCCTACCCTAGCCTACCCCTACCCTACCCTACCCTACCCTACCCTACCCCTACACTACCCTACCCTACCCTACCCTACCATACCCTACCCTACCCTACCCTACCCCTACACTACCCTACCCTACCCTACCCTACCCTACCCTACCCTAACCTACCCTACACTACCCTACCCTACCCCTACCCCTACACTACCCTACCCTACCCTACCCTAACCTACCCTAACCTACCCTACCCTACCCTACCCTACCCTACCCTACCCTACCCTACCCTACACTACCCTACCCTACCCCTACACTACCCTACCCTACCCCTACCCTACCCTACCCTACTCTACCCTACCCTACTCTACCCTACCCTACGCTACCCTCAATCCCCTACCCTACCCTATCCTACCCTACCCTACCCTACCTACAATCCCCTACCTCACCCTACCCTACCCTACCCTACCCTAACCTACCCTACCCTAACCTTACACTACCCTACCCTACCCTACCCTACCCCTACCCCTACACTACCCTACCCTACCCTACTCTACCCTACCCTACCCTACCCTACCCTACCCTACAATCCCCTACCCTACCCTACCCTACCCTACAATCCCCTACCCTACCCTATACCCTACCCTATACCCTATACTCTACCCTACCCTACCCCCCCTACCCTACCCTATACCCTACCCTATACCCTACCCTACCCTACTCTACCCTACTATACCCTACTCCTACCCTACCCTACCCTACCCTACCCTACCCTACCCCTACCCCTACCCTACCCTACCCTACCCTACCCTACCCTACCCTACCCTACCCTACCCTACCCTACCCTACCCTACCCTACACTACCACCGACAGTCCAAGTTTCAGCTAAATCGGCCCAGAAACGGCTGAGATATTGCAAAATCAAATTAATTTGTATTTACTGGCGAATCTCCTTGGCGAGCGGTGCCTTGTGTCGGCCTTCGTTGTCAAAGGTCAATGACCTGCCGGCTCTGATTATTTCCACTCAGTTTGGCAAGCGAACAACTGAGCCTAAAACACGTGCCTTCTGCTCGGCACCGGTCGCGGCCGCACCACGTGCACACCGCTGAACCCACACCCTCGAAAATTTAATACGACAATTGAGTGCACGCGTCCGACTTACAGCGAAAATTTCACCCCCGTAGCCCTTACCGTTATCGAGCAATAGCCTGTTGCCGATTCTAGTGTAAACCCTATGGCACACCACGTGAGCACGCGCCACGGGCGCACCCCTGGCCGCATCGTGCCCAAAATTTAATACGACCTGTTGAATGACGTGACCCACGAGCCGTGAAAATTTCACCCTCGTGCGTCAATCGACGGCGCCGCAATAAGCCTTTTTGGGCGTAACCCCGACGGCGGACTTTTTAGGATTTATAATAGTAGACTAGTTTTGAAGCTTGACACCGATAATGGGTACTGACTGAGCTCTGTTTCTGCGATCAATGATACCGATTTAAGGGATCGTATGAGCCCATGTGGCGTTGCTCAGAAAGTATTCTCGAAATGTGCTGTCTGTTTTGAATATGGTAGGTACATTAGCCCGAAAACTGGTCTCTGAGACCGAAAATGGGGACACTGTTTTCTCAGTGTACCCTACCCTACCCTACCCTACCCTACACCACACTACCACCGACAGTCCAAGTTTCAGCTAAATCGGCCCAGAAACGGCTGAGATATTGCAAAAACAAATTAATTGTATTTACTGGCGAATCCCCTTGGCGAGCGGTGCCTTGTGTCGGCCTTCGTTGGCTCTGATGCTTTTCACTCAGTTTTCTAAGCGAACAACTGAGCCTAAAGCACGTGCCCTCTGCTCGGCGCCGGTCGCGGCCCCATCACGTGCACACCGCTGAACCCACACCCTCGAAAATTTAATACGACAAATGAGTGCACGCGCTCGACTTGGTGTGAAAATTTCACCCCTGTAGCCCTTACCGTTCCCGAGCAATGGCCTGTTTTTGTCGATTCTAATGCTAACCCTATGGCGCACATGAGCACGCGCCACGGGCGCACCCCCGGCCACATCGTGCCCAAAATTTAATACGACCTGTTGAATGACGTGACCCACGAGTCGTGAAAATTTCACCCTCCTGCGTCAATCGACGGCGCCGTAATAAGCCTTTTAGGGAGTAACCCCGACGGCGGCGGCGGACTTTTTAAGATTTATAATAGTAGACTAGAGGTACAGGTTTACACGATAACTGCTGTTTTGATTTATGTTATGTTACGGGTGCATTAGTTTGGGTGATTGACTTGTATTTTTAGCTGTATTATTTGGGTAGATTTGGGTAGTTGTTTTTAATTGAACTGTAAAGTATGATGGTGATGCATGCGAGTTGTTCGAGCCCTTTGTAAGTTAGGATGTTCCTCAATTCAACCCTACCCTACCCTACCCTACCCTACCCTACCCTACCCTACCCTACCCCTTCCCCTACCCCTTCCCCTACACTACCCTAACCTACCCTACACAACCCTACCCTACCCTACACTACCCTACCCTACCCCTACACTACCCTACCCTACCCTACCCCTACACTACCCTACCCTACTCTACCCTACCCTACCCTACAATACCCTACCCTACCCTACCCTACAATCCCTACCCTGCCCTACCCTACCCTTACACTATACCCTACCCTACCCTACCCTACCCTACCCTACCCTACCCTACCCTACCCTACCCTACCCTACCCTTACACTACCCTACCCTACCCTACCCCTACCCTACCCCTACCCTACCCCTACCCTACCCTACCCTACCCTACCCTACCCTACCCTACACAACCCTACCCTACCCTACCCTACCCCTAACCTACCCTACCCCTACCCTACCCTACCCTACCCTACCCCTAACCTACCCTACCCCTACCCTACCCTACCCTACCCTACCCCTACACTACCCTACCCTACCCTACCCTACCCTACCCTACTCTACCCTACCCTACCCTACAATCCCCTACCCTACCCTACCCTACCCTACAATCCCCTACCCTACCCTACCCTGCCCTACCCTACCCTACCCTACCCTACCCTATCCTATACAGTATACACTGCCACCGACAATCCAAGTTTCAGCTAAATCGGCCCAGAAACGGCTGACATATTGCAAAAACAAATTTATCGTATTTACTGGCGAATCCCCTTGGCGAGGGGTGCCCGGCGCCGGTATTCGTTGTCAAAGGTCAATGACCTTCCGGCTCTGATTATTTCCAGTCAGTTTTTAAGCGAACAACTGAGCCTAAAGCACGTGCCCTCTGCTCGGCGCCGGTCGCGGCCCCACCACATGCACACCGCCGAACCCACACCCTCAAGAATTTAATACGACAAATGAGTGCACGCGATCGACTTGGCGTGAAAATTTCACCCCCGTAGCCCTTACCGTTCCCGAGCAATAGCCTGTTTTTGCCGATTCTAATGCTAACCCTATGGCGCACATGAGCACGCGCCACGGGCGCACCCCCGGCCGCATCGTGCCCAAAATTTAATACGACCTGTTCATTTACGTGACCCACGAGTCGTCAAAATTTCACCGTCCTGCGTCAATCGACGGCGCCGTAATAAGCGTTTTTGGGAGTAACCCCGACGGCGGCGTGGGCGTGGGCGGCGTGGGCGGACTTTTTAAGATTTATAATAGTAGACTAGAGGTACAGGTTTACGTGATAACTGTATGTTTTGATTTATGTTTTGTTACGGGTGCATTAGTTTGGGTGATTGACTTGTATTTTTAGATGTATTATTTGGATAGATTTGGGTAGCTGTTTTTAATTAAACTGTAAGGGTTGGTGATAGGTGCGGGGTGTCCAAGTGTTTTGTATGTTAGGCCCTTTTTGAACTTAACCCTACCCCTACCCTACCCTACCCTACCCTACCCTACCCCTACCCTACCCTACCCTACTCTACCATACCCTACCCTACCATACCCTACCCTACCCTACCCCTACACTACCCTACCCTACCCTAACCTACCCACACTACCCTACCCTACCCTACCCCTACACTACCCTACCATACCCTACCCTACCCCTACACTACCCTACCCTACCCTAACCTACCCTACCCTAACCCTACCCTACCCTTACCCTACCCTACCCTACTCCTACACTACCCTACCGTACCCTTCCCTACCCTACCCTACCTTTACACTACCCTACCCTACCTTTACACTACCCTACCCTACCCTACCCTACCCTACCCTTACCCTTACACTACCCTACCCTACCCTACCCTACCCTACCCTTACACTACCCTACCCTACCCTACCCTACCCTACCCCTACCCTACAATCCCCTACCCTACCCTACAATCCCCTACCCAACCCTACCCCACCCTACCCTACCCTACCCATACCCTACCCTACCCTACCCTACTTTACCCTACCCTACCCTACCCTACTTTACCCTACCCTACCCTACCCTACACTGCCACCGACAATCCAAGTTTCAGCTAAATCGGCCCAGAAACGGCTGAGATATTGCAAAAACAAATTTATTGTATTTACTGGCGAATCCCCTTGGCGAGCGGTGCCTTGTGTCGGCCTTCGTTGTCAAAGGTCAACGACCTCCCGGCTCTGATGCTTTTCACTCAGTTTTTAAGCGAACAACTGAGCCTAAAGCACGTGCCCTCTGCTCGGCGCCGGTCGCGGCCCCACCACGTGCACACCGCTGAACCCACACCCTCGAAAATTTAATACGACAAATGATTGCACGCGATCGACTTACAGCGAAAATTTCACCCCCGTAGCACTTACCGTTTCCGAGCAATAGCCTGTTTTTGCCGATTCTAATGCTAACCCTATGGCGCACATGAGCACGCGCCACGGGCGCACCCCCGGCCGCATCGTGCCCAAAATTTAATACGACCTGTTCATTTACGTGACCCACGAGTTGTGAAAATTTCATCCTCCTGCGTCAATCGACGGCGCCGCAATAAGCGTTTTTGGGAGTAACCCCGACGGCGGCGTGGGCGTGGGCGGCGTGGGCGGACTTTTTAAGATTTATAATAGTAGACTAGAGGTACAGGTTTACGCGATAACTGTATGTTTTGATATGTATGATTAACGGATGCATTAGTTTGGGTGTAGAAACTTGCATTTTTATTGGTATGATTTTTGTAGAACTGGGTAACTGCTTTTAATTGAACTGTAAAGTATGATGGTGATTCATGCGAGTTGTTCGAGCCCTTTGTAAGTTAGGATGTTACTGAACGCAACCCTACCCTACCCTACCCTACCCTACCCTACCCTACCCTACCCTACCCTACCCCACCCCTACACTACCCTACCCTACCCTACCATACCATACCCTACCCTACCCTACCATACCCTACCCTACCCCTACACTACACTACCCTACCCTACCCTACCCTACCTTACCACTACCCTACCCTACCTACCCTACCCTACCCTACCTACCCTACCCTACCCTACTCCTACCCTACCCTACCCTACCCTACCCTACCCCACCCTACCCTACCCTTACCCTACCCTACCCTTACACTACCCTACCCTACCCTACCCTTACACTACCCTACCCTACCCTACCTTACCCTACCCTACCCTACCCTACCCTACCGTACCCTACTCTACCCTTACACTACCCTACCCTACCCTACCCTACCCTACCCTACCCTACCATACCATACCCTACCCTACCCTACCCTACCCTACCCTACCCTACCCTACCTAACTCTACCCTACCTAACTCTACCCTACCCTACCCTACACTACCCTACCCTACCCTACCCTACCCTACCCTACCCTACAATCCCCTACCCAACCCTACCCTACAATCCCCTACCCTACCCTACCCTACCCTACAATCCCCTACCCAACCCTACCCTACAATCCCCTACCCTACCCTACCCTACCCTACCCTACACTACACTACCACCGACAGTCCAAGTTTCAGCTGAATCGGCCCAGAAACGGCTGAGATATTGCAAAAACAAATTAATTGTATTTACTGGCGAATCCCCTTGGCGAGCGGTGCCTTGTGTCGGCCTTCGTTGGCTCTGATGCTTTTCACTCAGTTTTCTAAGCGAACAACTGAGCCTAAAGCACGTGCCCTCTGCTCGGCGCCGGTCGCGGCCCCATCACATGCACACCGCAAACCCACACCCTCGAAAATTTAATACGACAAATGAGTGCACGCGCTCGACTTGGCGTGAAAATTTCACCCCCGTAGCCCTTACCGTTCCCGAGCAATAGCCTGTTTTTGCCGATTCTAATGCTAACCCTATGGCGCACATGAGCACGCGCCACGGGCGCACCCCCGGCCGCATCGTGCCCAAAATTTAATACGACCTGTTCATTTACGTGACCCACGAGTCGTCAAAATTTCACCGTCCTGCGTCAATCGACGGCGCCGTAATAAGCGTTTTTGGGAGTAACCCCGACGGCGGCGTGGGCGTGGGCGGCGTGGGCGGACTTTTTAAGATTTATAATAGTAGATTAGCTAGCTAACGGTCTTCTGCCCTCTCCTGTATCTCTCTCTCTCTCTCTCTCTCTCTCTCTCTCTCTCTCTCTCTCTCTCTCTCTCTCTCTCTCTCTCTCTCTCTCTCTCTCTCTCTTCTCATGGTCTGTCTCTGTCCGGCCAACTCTCCCAGTCTTCACGGTCTAACGCCCCCTCCATCTCTGTCCCTGCCAGGTGCGTGAGCTCGCTGCTCTGGTGGCGCGAGTTCCGCCGCTTCTACCTGCACATGATGACCGAGAACATGAAGAGCATCATCATGCGCCACCGCGGCGTGCTCTTCACGGAGGACGCCAAGGCGCGGCACCAGCTGGACGAGCGCAAGGTGTTCATGGCGGCCACACTCAGCGAGTTTGACGAGGCATACTCAAGGTGAGTAGAGCACGCGCTGTGAGTGGGAGGGAGAGGAAGAGAGACAGAGAGAGAGGGATGAAGAGAAGGGGAAGGATTGAGAGAGGGACGGAGGGAGAGACCCGGAAGGACTTATGATTCTAGATGCGTCATCGATGAACGCGGAACAGGATTCTCTGATCGGCTTCTTGGTCTTAGCCATTGATATTATACATTGGTATTGTGATTCAGCTTCGGGAAAGGCTATCACTTGTACAATCAGGATGAGGACGCGTCTTTGAGTACAATTGTGCTCAAATGTAGACAGTGCTGCCTCAGGGAAGCATTAAGTACATCTGCGGAACTGGTTCTAGGTACATTATATCCAAGGACACCAACCCACTCTAAAAATCAGGGCGAGTATTGGATAAGTAATGGAAATGATTGACTTTTGAGCAAAGTTTATGGTTATAACAATATCATTTTTCAGACCTTTGACCTGTAATCCGACCTGTAATTTTCACTTATTCACGTCATATGTAGAGCAGAAAGGGAAGCTGGAGCAGGCGCCCTCTGCAGTACGTCGGCGATCGCAGCCTCTGTAAATTGTAATTCTACTGTTCGTTTTTGTCCGGAAATTTCAAAATCTCGAATTTTTCTGTAAAAAATACATGCAATAGCTAGAAGGAAAACTTTGTCACCATCGGATTCCTCACACCATTGCGCGTCGAATGAGACGTAAATCGAGTGAGTAACGACTGGGGAAAGACAAGATTTAACCCTCGCCGGACCTATTGGTTTTCTACATACGCGCCGGCCGAGGGGGGGGGGGGGCGGGTACGACCCCCCCCCTCGCCGTTTCGCCCCTGGTGGAGCTAGCGCGTCGCGGAAAAAACGAGCGTGTGCGCCGTTACGAGACGCAGAGATTGGTACCCGATTTTAAGGTCCTAGGTCAACCGGTGACCTCTGAGGTCAGGTCAAGTGCCCCAAGGTACGGTTCAGTTTTTGGTGAATAACATCGCAAAAAACGGCCGCAGAGCGCCGATTTTGGCAGCATCGTGTTCGTCTCGCTCAGGCGCGTCGAATGATATACTTTTTGTCCGGGTCAGGTCAACTTGGGGTGTTGACCTCAGGTCAAGGTCAGGTCAGCACCCCCAGGTCACGAAGTTGGTCGAAAGAGGTCATGTCGCATATCATTCGATTCGGCAGGTCTTCCTGAGTCCATTGGTGGCTTTCCCGACTCGCTAGCTCAATTTGATCAAGAGTTATTGACGAAAAACTAATATGACCTTGATGACGTCATAAATGACGTCACGCAAGGTCAACATTGCAAAAGTGACGCATCTAACCTTGCAAGGAGTGCATCAAATCACGATTCTGTGTGCTTGAGATAGTTGGAGATCGTTCCCGGCGCCAGAATAGCAGTTTGAATTTTTCCCCATTGACTTATAATGGTGAGGTCACGAAAATGACCTGACCTCATATGACCTTTAGGAAAAATCCGAGATATACAAATTGTGGGACTCATAATGGATACTAGATCCTGCAAGTTTCATTTCCCTGTGACATCTCCTCTGGCAGTGAGGGCGTTGCGAAGTTGCGACATCTGAAGACCGTGCAGAGGTTCACTTATGACGTCATAGGTCAGTGACCTGACCTGACCCAAAAATGCGGTTGGTGTCAAAAGATCCGGCTTGGATCAAAGGTCAGGTATGCCAAGTTTCAGCTTTCTATCGCCAGCGTGTTCGGAGCTATCGCGAAAAAACCCTATGGGGGGGCGGCACCCGCCCCCCCCCCTCGGCCGGCGAGGGTTAACACAAAAGTTGATTTTGCCCCCCCCCCCCTCCCAACCGAAAATCTCTGGCGACGCCTATGATAGCGCTCCTGTAACACTCAATGTAGGTATGTGACTGCTATTACACCACTGCTGTGGGAAATTGCAGATCATTAAACTATACCAATTCACCTGACGAGGTCGGCCAGCTGCGGCGGCAATCACGGGGCGAGCCGGGCGCGCTTGTACTATATGCCGGAGCCCTATCGTTCGCCAGTGTGAGGTGAAAGGGCTGCTGTGGAATGTTTTGTGGACCACTTAAATATAATGCTTGTTTGTCCATAAAAGGCGTACTTAGCCTGGAACCTTCTTATTCCTAGATCTGGGTATTACATACATCGGGGTAAGATGGCAGCCTGTTGTACTTGCATCCGTGACTAATTCCTGTCAGGTCCGTAGGTTTTTTTGTAAGATCTGTAGCTGGTGTTAGTCTTTCAACACTTTTTCTTTCTGACATCGTGCTGCCAATCACTGTACTCGTACTGTCACATCATGACAGCCTGTCTGCAGCCGCTGCACCGTCCTGAAGGTGCGTGAACGTATGCCACGCGCGCGACTCCTCGACACCCTCACAGACCATTTGTCATGTTCGGTCACTGAAGTTAGGCGCCCAACGGCTGGTCGCCCCCGGGAGACAGGGGTAGTCCGCAGCACTGGGGTAGTCGCGCCAGTCACCTCGCAGGCCGGTGCTGTTCCTCACAGCCGCGAACGGTCGAATGCTGCGAATATGTGCCCACTTTTTTCATTTCACAGCGCCCCATATCTTCTCAAAATGTCTAAAACTGGAGTCGAAGTTTGCTTATTCGTACTCCTGATGACGCTCATATCCTACCGAAGTTGGCGTCATTTGGAGATCTCCCGTCGCGAGCGACTCATCAGAGCGGCCAAACTATGCTGACTGGTTATGATGCCGTCTTGCGTAGCGGTTTCCGACGCGGCGGGGTGCGCTGGGAGGGGCTCTGTCTGAGAGACACACACGTGGTGGTACGGCAGCCGCAGTGCGGTAATTGCAATACAGCCCAGAATGTCCCAACGTGTGCGCTGTGCTCCCCATGGATGGACGAAGTGTATGGGTGTGCGCCTTATGGTAGGAAAATGTGGCGTCCATTGTTTGGGTCCATTGGTCCATTAAGTCCATTTAGTGGTCCAATGTTTGGGAACGACATACAAGTGGATGAACATTGCACCGTTAGTGCTATGAGAAGTAAATGGGAAGGGATCATCGCGTTTTCTCAGGTATCGGTGGAACTAGCTTGCAGATCAAAAGGATTTCAGGCATCATCGATTTTCGCGAAATGATGCTCCTTAGTCCTTAGTGTGGTGAAATGAACACTGAACTAACACTGGCTTATCTATCCTCCGAACATTGATCAAGAAGTGCACATATGACATAACTGCATGTGCATTGTGCATAGGTGTCTGTCTCTTTTCCGGATGTTGTGTCAGAATACCTCCATTGTTGAATACCTAAGCTGAGCAACGTAGCCACTTTCTCGCCGTTTACTATTCACTGCGAGTATGGTAATCGTTATCATGCCCCAGCGTAATCTTGGGATCAGTTGTAGGGTAATAAACGATTTCGCTACGAGGACGACGCCTGAGCCTAGCGTTGTATTTTTATTTTCCTCTCCCATTTTTTTTTTTTAAGTTTGACCGCTGGGCTCTACCATCCCCCCATTAAACTTGTTCGCTACACCAAACGACAGACGGTGCCTTCTTCTCAGAGCCGGGCGTCGTTTTGGACATGTCGTTTTTGATATTCACGTGAACCATCTTGAACGGATTCGTCACCAGGTTCTGGCCATTGACGGAATTGAAATTCATGTTATAATTCGTAGCCATAAGCTAGTACCGTTTTGGATGCACCGAGCCACGGTAAAAGCGGGGCAATTTCCGTTGCGTCTGCCGGTGGCCTGCGGCGGAGACCCTATTTGGCGGCTCTGTAGGCGCTGAATGGTCACCGGTCCGGGAGCAGTCCTGCTGACGCCGCCGATTGCTCCTGACAGGGGACTTCGGTAAGCTGCTGGATGTGCAGTCGTGGCATTGCGCGTACTCCGAACGAAAATGGAAAACGGCAATGGTGCATTGAGTGCGTTAATGACTTCAACATGTTTTTAGCATTTGGTCTTTAAATATGTTTTTGATTACATACCATTGACGTTTATTCTAAATCATATGGCTCGTTCTGTTTCCTGTCAAATATGCCTATATTTATTCAAGTAGGTACATATGTATATTGAAGTATACCGAGGCGCGCTAGGCAGTAGGGATATTCAATCATCCATTTTTGGCAGTGGGCTTACAGTAGGTATCTATCTGGCTGCATTACACAGGGATACTTTTACCGTCTTTTTGTTGCTGCTTTTCCTCAAATGAGATTTTACTGATAGTTACGGCACTTACAAACCTACGTGGTGCCTTGAGGCTTGAACATTGATTTATTGATCAAGAATCAGAATCTGTCGTTTTTATTTCACGTGTCTTCCAAAATCAAATTTGTTCGATATTCCAGTGAGTTTGCATTGTTTAGTATAGCACACAGGAATATGTTTCATGTGCATTAATAAACAAGGTCGCCTTGCCCCGTTTTCCAATTTGAATTGTCCCCGTCAATAGCGGATTCGACAGTTCCAAAGAATGCGTCTGAATTCCTTCATCCGTTTTTCATTCGCTTGCTTCAAGAGCCCTTTCAGTCGGCAAAAGCAGCACATGCTATATTCCCATTATTATGTTTGGTTTTGGTCGCTTGCTTTGCGAAACATTCACATTGTTATTGCACAGTTAACCTTATTCCCTCTGGATCATAGAAGAATATAAATGGGTGCTTAGAATTTTAACCCTCGCCCATGTAGGGGGGGGGTTGGTGCACCACCCCCCCCCCCCTGAGGTTTTTCTTAGCTACACGCCGAACCGTTTCAGATAGCCTGCTCAAATTTTCAGTACCCTTTGGGGCATCCTTTGCGCAACTTTTGGTAAAAAAAATTGTCAAGGTCATGCCAGGTCACGGAGTTATGACGTCATAAAGGGAACAACCTCCGGCCAGATTTACGCTAAATTGGAGATTGCTTCACATTGGTATAAATGCCGACTGACCTGACACACTGATGGATTGTTTTAGAATCACAACTGGCTGATTTGACATTGGCACAATGTCCGTTGACATTTTGAAGGTTACTAAAGGTCAAGGTAAGGTCAGTGACCTCGGTTGACCTGTAATGACTTCTTGCACTTGTATGCCTTTTCGGGGTATTTTGATGCCCTGAATTCGAATTTGCTATCCATTTCAGGCATCGTCGGTTGTTTCTTGTAGTTCATTTTGGGTCAGGGTCAGGTCAGTGACGTCACACGCCTGACGTGACCCAATGCACAAATGACCTTGCAGACTTCCGATGCTCCCAACGCATCATTTTTAGAGTTATGATATCGAAATATACACCAAACGATAGAGAATTGATCAAAGATCACGATAGTGAAGGTTTCAAGTCGATATCTCTTACCGTTTTGCCGCAATCGGCGCGGAAATCTGAAAAAGTTAGATTTTTCCGAAAATTTGACCTTTGACCGGTCATAAGTAGGTCAAATGTTGACCTAGGACCAAAAAATATACCACCAATCGCGAGATCTCGTTAAGAGCAATCCGTTGGTCTTTTCCGCTAAGCTCTACGACGCTCCGTTTTCAAACGCCAGGGGGTCGCACCAACATGCATGGGCGAAGGTGGCAAAACACCGTTTACGGGCGAGGGTTAAACCGGGACTGATGTCATTAGCAGCGAGTATTATACTATTGCATAATGCATTCACACCGCCGACCATTCCATGCAGCTAATTAGATTCTTTCCCGACTATCTGGCTCTGTGGGAGCTGACCGTCATTGGGCGATCGGTTGATCTTTATCGTGGACTGGGGATGGGATGGAGAACTTTGAGGCGACACGTCCTACCGAACGCCGATCAACGTCGCGATGTTTCGTTGGATGATGAATGAGTGCATTGTATTTCGAAATTCGACATCTTTACTTATTAACCATCAGCCTCATCCGTTTTTAACGTGCATCTGCTGGAATAATGAGTTCGCACAATATGGTTTAGAAATCTGACTTTGTTTTTATCAAACTTTTACTCTTTGCTTTGCAGAGCACTCTCAAAAAGTTTGCCAATGTTATACTGATGTTATTTTTATGAGAGGTGCCGGTTATTTTGCGATTCGTGGCACGCAGCCGTCCGTTGTCTTTATGTAGTGAGTGCCTTTCCTGATATCGGCTGCTGATCGCTGTTTGTCGCCGGCCCGATCCTCCGATCTCGGCAGACGGTAAACACAATCCGCCCCCGGCTGTCCTCAGACGTGTGAACGGCTACAAGACGCTGGAGGAGTTTTACCGTGACAACAGCTCTCTGACCTTCCTCGACGGCATCGACGCGCCGATGGTGTTCATCAACTCGCGCGACGACCCCATCGTGCCCAGCGTTATACTGGAGGACGTGCGCCGGCACTGCAGTGAGTATTACTTGGACCGGGGGCGACTATAGGGCGCTGCGGTATCGGGTACTGTCCCGCGCCTAAGTATCGGCGCTAACCGTACAGTCTATGGGGGTGTGGAGAGTGGTTTCACTTCGCCGGATGTCCTGCACTCCGTCAGAGTCCATTACCATGGGCGTTGTGTTTTGCCTCAAGTGCTTCTTCGGTCGTCGTCGCGCTCATGACTGGTGAAGTGTTTTACGCCGGCCATGAGTACCGTCAGCGGGCTGGCTATCAACTAAGGTACCATCAGCGGCACATCACCCCGAAAACAGATACGCCTCCACGCCTATTAGCGCCCGAATTTCAGCTTTAGGGTCCATTACGGTTCAATGGATAATGTTTGTACTGTGATGGCGGGGCTATTCATCCAGTGACTGGCGGTTTCGGCCACCAATATTCACCTGCTTGGTTGATGAGCTCGGAACCGTAGCGGCCTAATGCAACGTCCCTCAAACGAGACTTATGAGGCACCGAGCACAAAACAGGTTTGTGGTGATCATTGCTCTGAGGATGGGGTTAGGATGGACCCTGGTGTGATAATTGTGGCTATGAAGTCTGGGTATGGCGAGGTAGCTAATAGCCTTAGCCTGTTTGTTTGCATTAGTTTGTAATTCATAATTTGTCTGATTCATTGCTTAGATAAATTATTGGTGAATTGATCAAGGAGTTGTCTGTGAAAAGATATACATCAACTGACCGACTCATCCATTATATTTTATTACGTAAGACTCGAGAGTCCCCTCGAGGGAATCGCCCCTCGAGAGTATTATATGGGTCCAATATTTCCACGACACATGTCATGGGCCATCAATGATATTTGCACATCAAAATTACAATAAAAACTTCAGTTAGAAATGCTAAGCCATTTCTCTGAGATCGGCAGTTCTAACTGGTGTCGGCTGTCGAATTTTACCATTCGTTTACCTAAAATAGCTCGCCACTTCTGCTAGGCGCTACTGAGGTCTGGATGCATAACTGACAACTTTTTCTTTTCGTCGAGAAGCAACAAAATATCGGGATCAAGATTATTGGAGGTTAAATAATTGAAGCGTTGATTGTTTGCTCCGTGATATGTGATAATGAGGATGCGTAATTTATTTTATTACGCAACTTATGCGAATGCGCGTGTTCCCTCGAGTAGTACGTCCCATGCTAACATCTGACCTTTACCTAATGCTCCTCCTCCTCTCTCATCCCTATCATTACACGTCGGTCATCAGCTCCGGTGCTTATCTGACCATCCAGGTAGCTTACATGCATCAGTCGCCAATCCCCTCACTAATCCCGGACCCGGGGTGCCGACGTCTGATCGGCAGCGCGGCCGTCGCGGACCACCGCCCCGTCACCTCTGCGACGCTTTACGTCCGTCAGTGCGGCCCCCGTGGACGGCCGCTGCGTCTGTCGGCGCCCCCGGAGCGCGGCAATTGGAGGTGACGTTTTGACGGCGCCGTCTGGCGCCCGTGGGTGGCTCATCAGACACCATGAGAGCCGAGCGACGCGTCTTACTGGGCATGAAGTGATGCGTTGGCGTACGCGCGCGGACACGGTGAAATGTGTCCCACGCGGGTGTTCGGCGGGATCGAGCGACGCTGGAAAGAGTATACTGAAAGACGGAGTCGATCGTTTGTGGTAGTGGAACGCGGGTAAAAGTATGCAGTAGGTGTCCCCGGGTGACAGTGAAGGTGGCGAGATGGAGAGACGGAAAAAATTTCATGCCATGAAAAGCATGGCAATAAATGCAGTTCAGAATATTCAGAGTTAGATTGTTCCTTTGACGCGCCTGAGGAAGAAATTGAAACATCAACCAATAACACTACATAGATTGGCTAATTTCTTATCTTTTGAAGCTTTTCCTTAAGAATCATTATCTTATGGCCCCTCGATGAAATTTATCAGGCCGATAAGGACTTTCTCAGTGAGTTTTCCCAAGTTTGGAAAATTAGTTTCTTGCTGTGTACGCTATTCCATTGCAAGTAAATTGGGAAAACATTTAGTTGTTTAATTTCTGTATAGTAGGCAGTGAAATTGTATGTACATTCTCAACTGACTTTTTTGACTTGGACGTTTCCCATTCGTAATCGTATGTTCATTGACACACGCACACATCCTGGTTCGCGTGACTTTAACACTCGAGCTATCTGCGCTCGTTCGGCTCGCTGGCCGTACAAATATTGAAAGAGAACGAGGACGCGTTTCATTTAGCCCTGGCTTTCGAACAATTGATTCAGACTGTATGCAAAGTGCTTATGTCATTCTTACACCACCGTTTCACGCGGTAGTGGCCAATGTGTTTGAACTACGACGCTTCTGCTGCACTGAAAACTTTTTTACCATTTCCTGAAGGGTAAAACCGCCATAGCATGGTAGCTTGACACACAGACGTTTTTTACCACCTTCCAGATGGTAAATTTTACTCTTTCATGAAGAGTAAACTCGCCAGGGAGGGGTAACATGACACACAGACGTTTTTTACCATCTTCTGAATGGTAAACTCTTTTGATTTACTCTTGTCTAGAGTGTAACATTTTTTGGGCTACACTCTTTGAAAGGGTAAATCTTTAACGGAACCCTTTTTTAGGGAGTAACGCATCATCTACTCTGTGCTTTACCCTCCTACAGAGAGTATATTCTTATGGCCTACCCTTTGTCACATGGTAATGTTTACTCTTTCCTTTAGTGTAAACCCCCCAGAGGATGGTAACAGACCCACAGACGCTTGCTTCAGAAGCTTCACGAAGCTTCTGTTAACCGGAGCTCACCAACAAAAAAAAAATGCTTCAAGAGCAATAATGTAGGTATATTTGGCTTCCGTACAAACAATACGAGGGGCACACCAACCATGAACATTGTGAGACTCTTCACTTATTCATACAAATTTATACAAAGCGTTCAGCAATGCACAAGCGGTAAATAAACACCACGATACAACTTGAATGCAATTTGAATATGAATACAAGACATTCAGCGCCCTCATATTGGATTAGGCAGAGCGCACAATATTTGAAGCGAGCGACGGCGTTCCTGGGTGGTCGCCCGTCTGCGTGAGATAATGCGACTGGATCACTACAGTGCAAGGCTTTTTCAAAGTCACCAACAAAATGCATAAACTTGTAGCATCACAACAAAATTAATGTACGTACTCACAACACTAGGCCACGTGGCCGTGCACGGGGTCCTGTTAACCAGGTCAAATTAGCACCACTCAACGGCACGCAATGCTCTAGCACATCGGTACTTACAATAAAATGTCCACAGAGGCTCTATAGGCGATGAACAACACACAAGCACAATCACCAACGGCCACGCCGCGCGGCACCGACACTGCTCACATCCGCTCTCGGAGACCAACGGCCGAAAACTGACAGATGCGCGCGGCCTTCAAACCGCAAACGGCCGATCTCGTTTCTGATTGGCTGATTGTTTCCATTTCAAATATCATCTTCACGAGGGTAAACAAGATCCACGCATGAAACGACTATCTGTACCCGAGTCACGATACCCAGGAGGAAAGAGTTTTCGTGATGTTCTGGATCGCGAGAGTAATATTGATATTTACATGGTAATAATACTCTTCGCTGGCGAATAAGTTCATATTAACCACGTACCGTTACTATGCACATAATGGTAGCAGCGAGTTACCCTTTCAATATACTATTATCTTGCGGGTTTGATGAAAATGAACTCTCCAGGAGGTAGTAAAAAAGTTTTGAGTGTGCGTTCGTCGTTACGGCTGAGTAAGCGCTTGTAGTAACGCGACTACGAACTTCCGAAATGCCCTGTGGGTACTTGGACAAGTTATTGCCAACCATAGGGATGGTTGGCTGGAGCTCTGGATGTGAATGGTGCATTAGCTCCTAGATTAACTCATCTCCGTGTGGCGCGGCTGGTTCAAATTTTATTGGATCATCGCCTTCGTTATCGAACGAAGTCGAGGTTTCCGCTCTGGCTAGGGGGCGCTAAGCCATGCGATCACAAACGGCAGCAGTCGCTACTTCAGAGGATGAGCGCATCACATGCAATCATGCCTCTTCATGTTTAATTAAGTTAATTGCTAGGTGCTGATTTGTGCTCACGTAGTCATTTGCATTGTTTAAAGGCTGTAAATTTTTAAAGCAATGATACCGAACTTCGAAAGCTGCTGGTACAGTCGCACAGTAAGCAATATGGCAACTCAGCAATGCTAACGGCTCAGGAAGGCCTGGTGGCCTGATCCACTGAGTAATCACACTTTACCTGTCGCTCGGTGGCCATTAAACAGTGATGGGTCACCGCGTGGATCCCAACTAGTGTTGGAGCGGTCATTTACTGGCCACCTGTCAATGGCTCGGACGAGTGTGAGAGCTCTCCGTGCGGCGGTCAGTGGTGTGTGGCTGCCCAAGTTGGCTACTCCAAGTGTCGGTGACATTTGGAGTTTGCCGGGGGCGTCCCCGGCGGCGCGAACTTGCCGTGTGTCGCCGCTGTAGGTCTCTATCCCGGCGGCTACGGCTGGCCCATGACGGCCCAGGAGTCCTCTCGGGCATCGCTCGGTGGCCAGAGGACTGGACCCTATGTCGGCGTTAGTCGTTCTCGTGCCGGTCACAGGGAAGGGGTAGGTGGTGTAACGAGGAGTAACGCGAGTGTGGAGTGTGGAGTGGTTGGAGTAGTGGTGGTCGGCCTTAGTACTTAACGGGATTCCAGTCGGAGGAAACTTTAAGAGAAATTGTGTGCGGGACTGCGAATGTCGAGGATGTAAATTTTAATGGAAGATGGAGGATGAAATGCGTTCATTGCTGGTCTTGTTTTTTACATTTGTCTTACAAGGGAGTTTACTTTCCGATGTAGTTGTTTATCATACACCGGATAACAATGTCGTCAATTCGCTAAATAGTTGCATGTCGTCTTGTTTGCGAATGGTATCCCAAAATTCCTAGATCTTCACTGTCGACCATTTTATTTGAAAGACCCTTCACGTCCTGGACATTTTTGGTTTCGTTACGATTTTCAATTTAGCGGTTGTCACGCGGAACTCGCATGCACCAGTGCACCACTAATATGCTCGGCTGGTGCTGGCAGGTTGAGTGTCAGGTCATGAAAATCTGATCGTATCTGTGTTCCCGGCACGGTGTGCTGTTCCAGATCTTTCCCCATATTGGTGCTGTGCTGAATTAACTACATGGTAGCTGAAAATCTTCTGAAAAAGCTGAAACTCTGCTTGAAGCTCATGATGAATAATAATAATATAAGAATAACCAGTAACCTCATAATATAAATCAGAAATAGGAGCCAAAAAGTTATATTTAAGATTATCGAATGTTTCGCTTTCTCGCTTTCTATCGAATATTTCGAATATGTTTTTCTGTAATTATCGCTGACGAAGCTCCAGGAGCGAAATATTCGAAAATTTTAAATATAACTTTTTGGCTCCTATTTCTGATTTATATTATAAGGCTACTGGTTATTCTTATATTATTATTGTAGCTGAAAATCGTCGGAATAGCATATTGCTTTTGAATCAGCTTGTAATATGTTATTACAAATCACCAGTTCTGTACCATGGTCATCTTGAGCTAAGTGTCGCGTTGTTGTAGAAATGGAAACTACCTTAATTGCGTGCAAATATCGATTTCAAAACCATCCCTTTTTACAGAACTCTCAACTATCCCTAGGCAGTCATTGCCCAAGAAACAAAAGGTAGGCGTGGCAGCATTCGGCATCGCTCCCTTTTCTGTTCAGCGGACAGCACAACTAATTGATGTTCTGCATACTACGTGCGTTTGTTTTTGTCCTAAAACATCATTTGCCTTTCATTCTTTTATCCTCCACATGAGGTCCCATCCGGTCGGGTCCTTTGTGTGGAAGCGCAGATTCGAGTTATGCCATTTTCCTGTCAAATTTATGTCGCCCACTCGGCACACTCGCAGCGCTCCGTGTGTCTGTCTGTCCGGCCTCCTCCGCCGGTAGTCGTGGCCGCCGAGGGTTCCGGTATAACGGCGTGCTCCGGTTACGCACCGGCCGTGCCCGGAGGCACGTCCCGCGATACGGCACGCGCCACGCCGGCGACGGGTCCGCAGCGCCGCGCCGCCTGAGAACCGCCTGGCCCACAGACGCCCACCTCCGACCGACTAGCACCTCGGTGGGGCTACTCGAATGGTGCGACTTCAGCGGTCTTTCATTAGCGCGTATACAGACGCACAGATACAGTGATTGTGGAGCGCACGCAGAATCCCAATCAGGCGGCCTTTCAGTCCTGTCAGTAGGCGTCCTTTGAAGTAGCCGGAGCGCTAATGGTCTAATTGCATTATCCGATCCGGCATTGCCTGTTGCACGGTTGTTTGCTGTTGGGTCTTCATTTGGTTGCATGGTTGATTCTGCAATTACGTTTGCTATCATTCCTAATTACTATTGGCATTATCGCCGTGTAGTTTTAGAGGTTCACCACGCGGAAATGTCATCTCATTTTACGTGTGCAATAGAATTGTTTGATCTCCTATTTCTTCTTTTGTTCAATGAAATCACCTTTAGCAACGATTCACTATTCCGTTTTTTTTCCTGTTTGTCACGGTGAGAATGAATAAACGAGCCATTTCGTTCCGAGCATTGAAGACCGATACATTGTAACCATGCCCGTTGGCTTGACGCTAACAAGTAGCCAACTGTTTCGAAAAAGACCAATGAATGGGGGAGCACGCTTTTCATTGTGTAGGTACATTTGCGCCTTTGACTGGTTGTTGGGCGACTGATACGCGTCCATGTATTGGTCTAATGGGTTTCAGCTGTTTGGGATCATTCGGACGTTTTTCTTGGTCACCGTTGGTCATTACATTCATACACGGTTATTTGCGAACATAATTAGATACTTTGAGTCATATTTTGATGAAATGACGATGTATCTGCGAGGTGTGGTTACTAAATCTGATAATATAGTTATTATGACCGTTACTACAACCAGAAATATAATGGGCCGGGAGGCGGGAATCCCTTCAGCAGTAGGGTTGTTAAAAAAAAAAACGAATTTTGGAAAAGTATATGGGCTCATGGCTCATGTGGTGCGGTATTCTTTTCTGAGTCCAATGATGCCCTTTTTTCCGGCTCTTTTCCGGGCTCTTCCACGGCCCACCGCGCCCGCGTCGTCAATGCCCTGCCCCGGCTGGGCGGCGCGTTTGTGCGGCGCGGACACGTTTTGCTACTTAGCTCGTTTGGTGGACAGATACGTCGTGTTCCGACAGCGACACCTAACACCAGTGTCATTTGATCTCGGCTCGACGACTGAAGAGAACATCAATCGCTCGGGGAGGTGCCGTAAAATGGCCGCCGATAATGTCGCCGTACCCAGGGGCGTGTGTTCGCAACCGCCGTCATTGGATTAATGATTGGATGACGTGTGTGTCAATGCGTGTAAATGAACTTAGAATTACAGCCGCTTATTCTGGGATAAACTTGCTAATATCACTCGTTCTAACTATGTACTTTTGCAGGCGTCATTTGCTACTATGTCGCCTATCTCCGTTGTTGACTATGTATTTCGCTATACACATACAGATTACATCGTAATTGCATCCACTATGGATTATATTACAACGATCCTATACTGGTGTTATTCGGATAATTGACTACCTTTCTGTAAGCTTTTTGGACATGGCTTTGCATGGTGTACGTAATACGGTACGTTCTACTGTTGCACCGCCTCAATTGTCTTCCCTAGGTACAGGCACTTCACAGATCCATCGGCACGATGCCTTTTTGTTGTGGCTGAATCTAACTTTTCCATCTCCCTCTGGTGTGATACCAACTGGAGGTGTAGTCGGCTGGACCCCCGGCGCTGCTTGTGCCGACACATGACCGACTTTTGATGCACCTGAGATGATTGGGATAGTTGGAGACCGCACGGGCGGAGTATGACGACGTAGGCAGGCCGATATTGTCATGGGTGGGTGGCCGTCCCGCGGCTGCCCGACACATTTTTCCTAGCGTGTTTTTGTCGTGTTTTGTTTGCCCTTTCGCTTCTTCTGTGACCCATGGGCCATGACTCATGTCCAGATTGTGCTTGTGATCGCTGGATATTGTTCTTGTGAGTTAGAAAGCAAAAGTTAACCTGTCGATGGAGTGTTATTACGGATCTTTATTGTGATATTTAGACGATCGAACAGGCTCACTGATCCGTCTGTTTGAAGAGGATTACTAGCTCGCTTACTTTTCTGGCTATCCGTGTGTGGTTGAAAAGAGCCACGGCCGGACCAAGGCGCCTGCCGGATGCCCGTCCGTGTGTTTTTCATTGTACCCTCTTACTCTGCGCAGGCCTAGCTAATTTCTCATCTCGTATGTGTTCAACCTCTGGCCGTACCTTATATGTCCTTGTATATCATTGTGCGAGCCGTGCTGCACATTCTGTGTATTATTTACAGCCGAACTAACCTGTCTGTGTGCTCTCAGAGAGCCATAACCATGCTAACCCTCAGTCTGTGTGTTTTCAGAGAGCTATGGCCGGACTGTGTGTGCCCTGTCTGTGTGTGTGTCCTCAGAAAGCCAAGATCGGACTAACCATCTTTCTGTTTATTTGCAGAGAGCCACGACCGGACTCTGCTGGTGGAGACGGAGCACGGCGGCCACCTGGGCTTCTACGAGGGCGGCTTCCTGGTGCCCCACTCGGTGACCTGGATGGACCGGCTGGTGGTACAGATGGCTCACAGCCTCGTCAGCGGTGCCTGAGCCGCCGGCGGGCCGCGTGGGCCGACCTGACCTGACCCGACCTGACCGGGAGGGCCCCGACGGCCGGGCGGGTGCGGGCCGACCTCCCGCAGCCAGGCAGCGAACCTCGCGGCGCTCGGGCCGCCACAGCCAAATTCCGCGCACTTCCAGATAGGTAGCGTGAAGCGCGTCTCATCTACTAGTCCTTGTAATGGCAGGATCCGCTGGAGATGTGTGTACATTGAAAAACCGCAGGCTGGTTAATCTCTGAGCTTCAGTCTCAGTGGTATAGGGTGCATTGGTTTCACATGTTACTCCAGAACGCACAAGAAACGCATTATTTATGAATGCTTTGTTTGGGTTGCACTGAGTCTGTTTCGCCTATGGCTGCCATGACATGAAAAGCGTGCTTTTAGTGCGACTTCGCCATCCTGATGTGATATTGATTGTGTTAATCAGATAAATTGGCTTATAGTGCAATGTTTCATCTGGTTTCTCTTCTTGCTCGTAAGATCTGCTGCATTTCGGGAACAATGCACAAAGTTCACGCTCATAGGGCATTTGAATGTGGCACCTTTCGTTTTGCTCTCGCCTGGTTCTTCTTTGATTGCACCAGTTTCAAGCTTGCTAATGTGCAGCGCACAATCAGTCAATGCTTCTTTCTAATCGGACGCTTGTTCCTTTTATTGTCATCAGTATGTGCACATTACCAACGGTGTTAGGCTGCGTGTTTAAGCGACAGCAATTACGTGTTTTCATTTATGTTGAATACATATTTATCCATGCTTTCTTCTCTCGTTGTCAATCGCTTATGACCAGCTGGGTACCTTTGGCGAGACGGGTCGCTATGATGGGGCTGTTGATGGGGTTGGGGCTGCTGAACAGTCGAGACCTGCTGACCGTTCATCGCACCACTCCCCGCCGACCGAGCGCCGTCCATTCTGTCCTTCGAAGAACCCGGGACCCGTGCCGTGACCTTCCCGTCTGAAATGGGGTTCATCGTGCCGATGTGCATTGGCGGGGCCTGACCGAACTACTGATAGGGAGAAAAGACTGGCCAGTCGCGAGGAGGAACAGACGGGTGATCGATGCCGCTTTGTGATAGGAAGGTGTTTCGACAGAGTTCCGGGCTGTGTCGTGACCTCAATGCATACCTTATCCGTGGCCCATAGGAGCCGATGACCGATGAGCAGTGAGCAGTCTAGGGCTGTGAGTGAGTGGGGAACTTCGTCCCCAGTTAGATACTCGTTGCCTATTGAGAAAATGCAGGGGTGCGGCCGTGTGCAGGCGGGGTAATATGGTACGCACTTACCTTGCATTAAATTAGTAAAGTCTGTTGAAATGCTTCATATGATATGTCGTGGGCTTTTTGTCAATAGTGTGTTTTTATTGTTAAATTAGAATCAGCTTCACCTTTTGACCATGAGGGTATTAGTAGAAAGACTTTCGGATTTCGTGTTTAAAGAACGTCTGCAATCATATCCCACATGACGACCGCTGACGAGGCCCTCCCTGTCATTTTCTCAAGGATGTTGTTTTTCCTCGAGGCTATGTAAAACAGCAATATGCAATTTGTCCTATTTTTGGTCGCAATTAAAGTTGCTGGAATGTAAACTATAAATTTGTTTATAGTTTACAATGGCTGCATTTGTTTGCGATGCATGCCCATCAACTTTCTTTGATTCAGAATGTTAAAGCAAAACAGGACTCCCTATCCTGTAAGAGACCCGAGTGTTTCCCGACCTTCCCACTGCTGCGTCGGACGGCCTACCGGTTGGTCTGTTATCTTGCTCGGCGGGCCGCGCGGATGTCAGCGTCAGAGTCGCTCACCCTATACCCGTGACGTCACCCGTCATTTGTCGTGACGTCACCATGCACTTATCGTGACGTCTCCCGTTTCCGGCACCGTCACCGGAAGCCCATGGCGCGGGGGCCGGGCAGCGCCGCGCCTCCGCTCCACAGGGCCGGATGTGAGCGGCCGTCGTGTGTAACCACCGGCCGGTCCTCCTCCGTCGCCTGATTAGGAGGTCATTAGTTCGTTGTGGAGGAGGGGCGCCGTAACCCGACCGGTCGGGCCGGCGACTGCGCGGTGACGCCAGCCTCCCCGGCTGGCCGGTCGTCCCTCCGCCGGCCGACCCGCTCTCCCTGCCAGGAGATGGAGCTGCTCCCCCGGGAGGGGACGGTGACCGGAATTAGATTGTCGTCGTGTTGTCTCCGCCGGCCCCGGGGACAACCGGCTGCTGGTCACCATCGGCGTGCAGACGTCCATGGCGACGTGGACGTCGTCACTGGCCGTCCAATTCCGAGATCCGGCATGTCTGATCTCAACAGGCCGGCCGAAACGGAGCTGTATGGATTTTTGGAACCCTGGACTGTCCTGGAGGCTTATCTCGACATCCAATATGAACAGACTCATCGTGAAACCGTATCAAGTGCATTTATAGATGGAAGTGTGATTTCAAAGTTTCGTCAACGGAATTATTTTTATCTGCATACCTACTGCGTTATATATGTTTCAATTAGAATCATGTCTCGCATTGCCCGTCTTCCTGTTCTCAGTTTTGTCATTTACCCTATTCCGGGCGAGGGGGGGCCTTTAAGGCCCCCTTCAGGTTTTCTTGTGTCATTGACAAACGCCGCAAGACTGAAAGCTCATACTCGGCGACTTTTCCTAGACATTCATTGCGCACATTTTGACAAAAAAAAAGTTGCCGGTTCAGGTTAGGTCAGGTCACCAGAGGCGGTTTGGTGACCTCACCTCAGAAAAGTTTGCAATCACGCCAGAGCTAGAGTTTTTGACGGATCAATTTCTTTATTTTATTTATTTATTTATTTATTTATTTATTTATTTATTTATTTATTTATTTATTTATTTATTTATTTACCAGAATCACCAACAGGGACAAGCCTCACTGACAGGCGCGGTCAACATAAAAACAGTTAAAGGGACACTCCCACCTTAACATTAGTTTTGAGTTGAGATAGCCAAATTGGTGGCCATGGCCTGCAAATACCGGTTTGGGCACTCACAACATCGAAAAATGCTTTAATTCGAAGATATGGAATTTCAAACTTGCAGTTTTCGGATTCTAAGGGGCTAGTGCATTGGTATGCCCCCTTAGAATTTGTGACGTCAGCGGAGATCTAACGATTTTTAAATCTTTTACTAAAACGTTTGGTAGCACGCGGTGGTATATGCTGCTTTGCGCGCAACAAATGCCGCACTTTCAAATAAAGTCGCTAGGAACAGCGGAGATCCCAAAAAGTAAACAAAAGTAAAAGTCTAATATCTTGAAAACCGGTGAATATTTTTCGATGAAATTTGGTAGATATTCGTTTTCGCTCTTTCTGAACCGAGCGACATCACTTTCGTGCCAATTCATTAACTTTTTTGAAGATGGGAGGGTCCCTTTAAACAGTTAAGACACATTGTAAACATCATACCTGTCGCATCACAGCCCGCAGTTCCCAACTATTTTATAAAATGAAAATTAAGATAAAGGTGTGCTAAAATACATGATGCATAAAAAGAATCATCAAAAGATGCATATAAAAGTGCGAATGAAGCACGAGGGGGTAATAATAAACATCAGCAGAATGATGAGAAATTAAGAATACACATAAAAAATAAACACAATAAAAGTAAAGTAAAACAAAACAAAAGTGAGATCGGTGAGCAAAAAACTACACGGTTAAAACGTATGCGGTGACACGAGTTTTCTTCTCTTCAGGTTTTAGTTAGGGTACCAGTACGTGCAATTTGTATATCTCAGAATTTGTATACCTGTGACCTGAGGTCAGGCCAGACTCGTGACCTTTACATTGCAAGCCTATGGGAAAATATTGAAACGCCTCCTGCTTCGTGTAAACGAGTCAAAACCACTCAATTCTTTCAGTATAATGGAAGATTATCTCATCGTTGATGAAACTGGTGCCGCTAATTGACAGGGGCCCCGGCAAAGGTCATCTGAGGTCATGTGACGTCATAAATCGTTTTTCTGTCAATAAATCACGACACGATGGTGCTTAAGACTTTTTAGTGGTACCAAACTGCTCGCCTGGTCAAGGCGCGTCGTTAAGCATGCAGCATGACCATACCCCACAATCTCATTGATGAATGACCTGACCTTGACCTCGCGTGAAATTTCAAATTGACCTGTGAAGGTCATCGCATACTTATTTCGCATTGCCTCGACGAGAGCAACAAAAAATGTACTAATTTTATGTCTCTATGTTTCTTAGTTCAAAAGTTATATAGGTAACTAATTCCAAAACATTTTATCGTTGATGACCTCTGGTGACCTCAATATTGACCTGACCTGAAAATGTTTTATGTAAAAGTTGTAGATCCTTAAGCGACCTATCAAACGCCGTTTGCCGTTTGTCGCTGCGATGTGTAATTTTTTTATATCTGAAGGGGGGCCGAAAAGGCCCCCCGCCCAGAATCGAACCTTTCAGAGCCCGCCCGGAATAGGGTTAAGGGAAAAGTGAGTCCTGTTTCTTGTGTCTTACGGTATCGAATCGTGTTGCTGCATCTTTGCGCAGCTTCTATTTAACTACCATATAAGTACGCGTCGTCATTTACATTTTACCCGCTACCCACTTCCTTGTTCCGTTCGTTGGCTGCATGGACTTGGCTCTTTTCTTGTCCACCAAGGGAATATCTTTTGTGAGAACTCTGAGTAGCTGAAATAACGATCATCGATGAGCTTTTTGGGTCCAAAATTTGGACTTCTGTCGGCGCTGGCGGGACGCGGGTTTCCCTGTGTCCAGGTGACTGATGACATCTCGTGCGCGGGGGAGCGGAGAGTCGCGTCAGACCATTACCGTCTCAGCAGTGTCTCTCAGCCGATACGATACGGTACCGCGGCGTTATTCATGGCTCAGCGTGCCTTCTATTGTTACAGATAGGTACAAATGAGCTGGTGTCACGTAAATTGTGACTGACAACTACCTACTTTGAGGCGTTCATTCTGGAAAAGTTTAGAGTACCTAGATACCTATTTGACTCGATCAGCTAAATGCACACGGGCGTAGGTCGATTTGGTTCCGTCTGGAATGCGAAAGAATTAGTTGGAAGGGCTTATGAGGGATGGCGTGGACATTTTTGTGCAGCAGTTGCAGTTGCAGTTGCATTCTCTTATATCTTCTATGCAACCCAAAGGTAGGTATACCTATTCAGAGTATATAGGTCACCGGTATATTCAGCCTTCTACTTGATGATAAAGACATCTTCAGCCCGAGAGCACATTACCCAAGGCTTTAAAAGATGGCTATTATGGAATGCCGCAATTCCTCCTTTAGCGTTTATTTGAGGAGCTTGTACCTACTTAAGTTTGTGCAAAGAATATTTTTTATCTTTTTTTGTTTTGTTTTTTTTTTGTTTTCAAAAGGCAATCGTTCAATTGGCAGATTGGGCGCTCCAACGCCATATGCTTTCTCACCGTTATCGTGTCGCTCTGAAGCTCCTTGTGTTTCAAAATCTTCCTGTTATCCATTCCGTTATAAGTTGTCTCTTGTGCGTGGGTTACAGCCTACAAGTTTACCGAACTATTCCTTCAACACGTTCAACGAAATATCGCGATAGTTTTTGAGTGCACGTGTCTCAAGGGGAATTTCCAAAGGGCAAAACCCCATTGGACATGTGCCATTTCGTTCTTTCCAATAAGACCCATGCAGATTATGGACTAGATATCGCTTGTTTCAAGCATATTACTTGACTAACACTGTAGAAAGAACGGTGCTATAAGTTACCTTGATTAGGAGTAAACTACCAGCTCTGCGTTTCTATTTAGTGTTCACGGTCGCGGGTTATGACCGACTCGAGCCAATTTTTTTTTAAACTACAGAACGCTGGACGAGGGTTGTTTTTGTTGTTGCATGCTGTTTTTCCAGAAGTCCTATGCTGCACATCTTTGAAAAAGTTGTATGCCCATGTGGCAACTGGTAACGAATAAGAATGGTCTGGATTTTTGTTGTGACCGACTCGAGACCAAAACATCTTTGTCTTGACGTTGAAATGCTTTTCGCACTGTCTTCAGACTGCATTACGGCGCATGAATAATTCATGCTGTTATGAATCCATTGAACTTTGACGCTCGTGATTTGTTGGCTATACTGGCGTGCGCCACATACCCGATAATACCAGGCGGACCCCAGCGGGTAGGTATCAGTCGCTGTTGTCGGCATTGCTGGCGCTCCTTTGAAGTTCTGAGACAATCCACGATAGGTGCATAAAAACGATTGTTTATGCGCTTACTTATGTGCCGGGTCGAGCACCTTAGCCGCGCCTATGTGAAGAGTAGCAATTCGCCCAATAGGCAAGATGCATTTCGCCTGTTCGATGCTGTGCCGCACCACGCCAGAGTTTTGCTCCATCGCCCATAGATGTCTCTGCCAACTGAGCGCCTGATGCATGCTGCGCCGCCGAGCGCGTAGCCTGGCGGCGCAGCATGCATCAGGCGCTCAGTTGGCAGAGACATCTATGGGCGGTGGGGAAAACTGTCTCGCGTAGTGCGGCACAGCATCGAACAGGCGGTATGACATGAACGCCATCAAGGGCGATGCCACACATCAGAGTGCGCCGCCCTGCGTTGATAGCTCAACCGCCTACATCAGCCATATGACGCTGCACGCTGCATCACGCACCACCAACTGAAATGTTTTTCAAGGGTAGGCTTTTATTCGTTCAGCCTATTGACGAGGATCCACCCAGGGTATATTGAGTTACAGATCCACCCGCACAGTGCATGTTCGACCCTCCCAATGGGACAGGACCGTTCCAATTATAGTCCCACTATAATGCAGGAAGTTAGGACTGTTCCGATTTTAGTCGCACCGTAGCAGAGGTAGTCACTAGTCAGGGCCGTTATAATTACAGTCCCACTGTAATACGGGTAGTCAGGGCCGTTCCAATTATAGTTGCCCATAACACGGGTAGACACTAGTCAGGGCCGTTCCAGTTATAGTCCCACCGTAAAACGGGTAGTCAGGGCCGTTCCAAATATAGTCGCACCGTAGCACAGGTACTATAACATGGACCTGTCCAAGTGTTGATCTTAAAATGTGGTGCGGCTGCTTGAAGGTTACTGAATCGATCTAAAAAAGCGCTGTTTTTTTAAGATCGAAGCACGATGTTTCTCACAATAACTGCTGGTCCAAAATCTCATATATTGCTTTCATCGACCAAACATTTATTTAAAATACGTTGTAACTTGCAAATATTCATGAAACATTCCTTTTTTAAATAATGCAGCTCAAAAGCAAATGCCGCATTGAAAAATCATCAGTGGTTTGCTTCGCTTATTTATCGAAAGTATTGACACATAACACTTTCTCTAGGAACGATGAATATCATATTTATATAGTAAAAGCGCGACATAAATACACAATCGCATGAGCTACATGGGTGCCTCGTGCCAGTATAGCTCTCAAAACCTATTTATATTAGGCCTCTCACCATACAGTTCTCATCATGATGGTACAGGCGACCTCTTGATCTATTAGAGTCCTAGTCATTAAGCATTGATAGTTCTTGAGTATTTTAGTTCAAGTATGATGACAGCTAAGTGCGTCATTTTTTTCGAACCAATTAACGATAATACAGCTGGAATAAAAGATGAGAAGAACACTCTCATGACCAAACTTTCTTTTGAAACGCTTACGTCTCGAATTCTATTTTTATACAAAGTCGTGAGCGTCGTGAGATCACTCGACACGGGAGCATGAGGTTTCGCCCGTGTTATTTACGGTCTTCGCAAGGCGGACCAGACTGTGCCACTGGCCTCAGGAGCCGAGTTGCGATCACAGGTCACGTGTCAGCTGCTCGGCCGGCTGACGTCACCAGGTCAGCCGGGGGTCATCCCGTCGGCGGCCGGCCGTCGAGCTGAGGGCCCGCCGGCCTACCGGCACAGGATCGAGTGCAGACTGCCGTGTCCGAACGCCTGCGTCTCGATCTTGTGCTCGGTCCGCGTCGGACAGGTCTGGCTGGGCGCGCATGCGCAGTTGACCTGCACCAGGGTGGTCACCTCGCTGGCCTTATCACTGCTCTGAGTGACGAACTTGCAGTGCTGGCCGGGACTGCACTGCGGCATCTGCGAACAACCAACGATCCACCTCCAGTGCCGTCTGTGCTTGGGACAACTCGGGGGGCGAGAGAACAACTACTGTCGGAGCCCGCTGTCGGTCGGTAAAACAAACCCTTGCTTCACAGCACTAAGAATAAATGCCCGCAATACCTGGCGCACAAATAAATCGTGACCGGTAGGTATTAGCCGTTTTCACGACGGCCATCTGGTACACATTTGGTGCACATCTGATACAGATTAGGTGCAGATCTGGTCAAATCAGGTTCAGTGTGTCTCTTAGCAGCCATCAGCTAGGGTTGCACTAATTGCTTATATGTCTGCTTTGTCATATTATCAGAGAGCATCATCGATTAAAACACTGAAATGAATTCATAAAATGAAGATATTTGCTGTAAAAGAAAGTAGGTGCAGATTTGGTCAAATCAGGTGCATTCGCCGGATAGCCCGTCGTGAATACGGTTATTATTCTTTATTTTGCATAAGAGAACATTCAACTTGCCAGCATTAGTACAACATTGCTCTTTAGCTGAAGAGATTTACAATACATAGGTATAGTTGAAACGAGAGCCCCTCACCGTCATCTATTTTCACGCACCTTATTGTCATTCTACAGCAGGTCACAGGTGTGTCGCATATCATAAATTGTGATGCCTCATGATAAGCCTGTTATAATTAGAAATTACGACGCTTCCCATAATGAATGATCACAGAACATGCTGTTTATCAAGCATCTCATTAGAGAATAAATTTAGCAATTAAAGCACGACCTCATGTGTAAGCATTGGATCGGTGTGCCGATCTTGGTGCAGGCATTGTTGGTGACCTGTCGCGCCTACCTTGGTGCAGGCCTTGGTGGTGACCATGACGTCACTGTCGTCGGTCTCGCTCCACTGCGTGTCGATCTGTTTGAGCTGGTGGCCGGCCGGACAGCGGCAGTGGATGAACTCGTGGTGCGCCATCGAGAGCCGCTCGTCCCGATAGCTGACCAGCTCATCGGTCATCGCCTGCTGTCCCGGCGAGCAGACAGACAGGGCCGGCGCCTGTCTGCAGTACTGGCGACCGGGGGGCGGGGCAGGGGTCACAACCCTGACAGAGAGGAGGTCAGAGGTCACAACACTGTCAGAGAGGAAGTCACAGGATCATGGGCGTAGGAACGGCTGGAACATTGTGGGTGCATGGGTGCAGAAATCCAGCCATGGCCGGTGAAGCGGGGGGGGGGGGGGGTAGGGAGCGACACCCGAGCGAAGGCTCGTTACGAGCTTTGAGGGTGTGCCATGTCAAAAGGTACCGACCGATAAGTGCATTTGGAAGCATTGACCCTCGCATGTGTAGGGGCGTCGGATGAACCCCCCCCCCCATGGTTGTTCGCAAATCACTCGCGCAAAAAGCGGCCAATCGCGACGAAACTTTTAGTACCCTCGAGTTGATCAGTTTTACATCCACTCTGAAAATTTCATGACCCTGACCCAAAAGACCTTTGACCTGTGACCTGATTCTCGAGACCATGTTCCGCCGGGATCGCGATTTGGCGTATGTCAGCTCACATTATCCGCGCGTTTCCAGTCTTTTTGTGATTGTAGACGTCCACATGTGAAATTATGTTCTTCCCATGCATCACGGTGGGTGTGAAGGTAACCTGAAGGTCAGGTCAGGTCATTGACCTTTGATGACCTTGGTTCACTTTTTCGAGTTTTACATGTTTCTAGGGTAGTTTATAGGGCTGATTTCGAATTTAGCATCCATTTGAACGTTTACGCGGCGAAGTAGTTTTAGTGCTTTCGTGACATGCTACGACGCCGTCAGTGGTAGATGACACCTACTAATTACTATGGATAGCCGGTAGGACGCCTAATGGTTGACCTGACCTGACCTGACCCGATCTGGCCTAAATGCATGAAGAAATCATCTGTGATCAAAACTAACATCAGATATTCGTGATCAGCACCCCGAAAACCCCGATAACAGCTTCACTTTACGCAATTCTAGCAGGTCCAGATTTTCCCGACTTTTGGAATATTGACCTGACCTGGAAGGTCAACCAGTGAAGTAGGACCTTAAAATTGGGTATCATCCGCTTCCTCTCGTCAGGGGCAACACCCTCGTTTTTTCCGCGAAGCTCTTCATTATAGCTCGATCAGGAGCCGAACGGCAGGGGGGTCCGACCGACCCCCCTCCCCCCTCCCCCTACACATTAGAAGCTGGAAAACGCTGCGCACACGCGAGGGCTAATAGGTATTGTCAATATTGACTACCGCAAAAAGTAAAAGCGGCCAACTTAGCCATTTTCGAAGATATCGGGCTAAAATTTTTGACAATGGGTCATCGGTTCGGTATGTGTTCAATCACATGCTCCATTTCCCTTTTTAGCACAAATGTAAGTTTTGAAGACCATCGCATTAGCAAATGCTTCGAAAGATGGATAGTAGGCAACATATCCTGAATTTGCCGTGCTGCATGGGAAGTAGTGTTGATGAAAAAAGGGGTTTTTGGTTCAGATTATTGTGGGTGCAGAATACATTGTCTGCACCCACTGGATAAATATTGTGGGTGCAGCTGCACCCTTGCACCCATGGTTCCTACGCTTATGCACAGGATACACTCTTGTCAGGAAGGAGGTCACAGATCATACACCTGTCAGGAACGGGGAAATAAGTCACAACCCTGTCAGACAGAACACAGATCAGACCCCTGTTAGAAACGGGGATGGAGCTCACGTCAGGGACAGCGAAAGGCACTCTGTGTAATCCTGAAAGAGGTGGTTTATCGGTATTGCCAGCAAAACTTTACACTCTCGAAAATGATTGCGTTGACCGCGAACCCCGTGTGGCATCTGACTGACCTTGTACTGATTGGAGCCGTGTGTCACCGAGCGGCCATCCTCTGGGTCCCAGAGCAGTGGGCACGACTGACGGCCGGGACAGTCGCAAAACTTTTCGGCGTTGATGCCCCACGCGTTGGCCTGCACCAGGCCGCACACAGCCGACCTTCTGCACGTCATCAGACCGCGCTTCTGCGAACGGAAACGGAGCCACTAGCTGCGGTGATGTGGACGCTGACAGAAGGTCGGTAATACAAACGGATGAGGTTTTGAAAATTGGCGCGAAGATGGCACTAAGATTAATCTGGATTTAAGCCAGGATTGCAGCTATATAAATTGATTAGGACAATGTTACATTGTTTATAATTTCATAAGCGCATAGTTGTTTCCTACATTCAAATAGGTAGCATCTCTGTAGAATATTTCGGAAATAAATATTCACAGGGACGAAAATTAACCCGCGCCGGGCCGGTGCTCTGAGATTCCGCGCCGGGCCGGGGGGGGGGGGTGTCTGAACACCCCCTTCTAACTCGGCTCCTGGGCCACGTAGCGACACGCGTAAAGCGGCAATCGAAAGAACGTCCAAAATAAGGACGAAAACACTTCGGTCATTTTTTGGGTCAGGTCAAAGGTCAGGTTACCAGAGGTCCCCAAAGGTCAAATGTTCACTATTTCAACATTTTGGAAACTGCCAACGGCTATCTCGGGAACCGATAGAGCTACAGCGCCGCGGAAACGCGCATTCGATAGCCCTTTTACAGACCTTTCTGAGTAATGTTCTCAGATTTGACCTCAGGTCAACGGTTTAGCCTCCAGGGGGCAAAAACTCCAAAAATAGCCGTTTTTACGAAAAACGTTTTTTCGGTAATAACTTTTGACTCAAAAGAGTCATGACATTACTTTTGCCACCATCGTGTTCCTCTCGTCGAGACGCGTCGAATGAACTATAATTTGACCTTGAAAGGTCAACTTGAAAATTTGACCTCAGGTCAAGGTCATGACCTGACCGGAAAAGGTCATGTTGCATATCAGTCGATCCGCAACGTCGAGCCGAACACATCTAAGGCGTTTTCAGCGCTCTAGCACGTCTCTATCAGAAGTTATTAGCGAAAAACTGTTAGATTCTGTTCGTGACCTGAGATGACCTCGGGGACATAACGAGGGGTCACAGTTGTCATTTTCCGGTTCAGTGTGTCCATTTTACCTACATCTCGATGTTTGAGAGTGTCTAGAATAACGTTCGTGCAAAACAGACGCTTTTCAATTTTCTCCCATTGACTTATAATGAAGAGGTCGCAAAATTGACCTGACCTTAGGTCACCGATATCAAAATTCCGAGATATTCATTTTATAGATATTGTTGCTCTAACCCTCGCCCGTAAACGGTGTTTTGCCACCTTCGCCCATGCAGGGGGGGGGGGTGCGACCCCCCCTTGGCGTTTGAAAACGAAGCGTCGTAGAGCTTAGCGGAAAAGACCAACGGATTGCTCTCAACGAGATCTCGCGATTGGTGGTATATTTTTAGTTCCTAGGTCAACATTTGACCTACTTATGACCGGTCAAAGGTCAAATTTTCGGAAAAATCTAACTTTTTCAGATTTCCGCGCCGATTGCGGCAAAACGGTAAGAGATATCGACTTGAAACCTTCACTATCGTGATCCATGATCAATTCTCTATCGTTTGGTGTGTATTTCGATGTCATAACTCTAAAAATGATGCGTTGGGAGCATCGGAGGTCTGCAAGGTCATTTGTGCATTGGGTCACGTCAGGCGTGTGACGTCACTGACCTGACCCTGACCCAAAATGAACTACAAGAAACAACTGACGATGCCTGAAATGGATAGCAAATTCGAATTCAGGGCATCAAAATACCCCGAAAAGGCATAAAAGTGCAAAAAGTCATTACAGGACAACCGAGGTCACTGACCTTACCTTGACCTTAAGTAACCTTCAAAATGTCAACGGACATTGTGCCAATGTCAAATCAGCCTGTTATGATTCTAAAACAATCCATCAGTGTGTCAGGTCAGTCGGCATTTATACCAATGTGAAGCAATCTCCAATTTAGCGTAAATCTGGCCGGAGGTTGTTCCCTTTATGACGTCATAACACCGTGACCTGACATGACCTTGACAAAAAAAATACCAAAAGTTGCGCAAAGGATGCCCCATAGGGTACTGAAAATTTGAGCAGGCTATCTGAAACGGTTCGGCGTGTAGCTAAGAAAAACCTCAGGGGGGGGGGGTTGCACCAACCCCGTCCCCCCTACATGGGCGAGGGTTAATCAATCGCTGAAAGTTTCAAGGCAATCGATCAATCGGTGTAGCTATGACGAGCATTCTTATTTTTTCTGAGGTGAGGTCACTTGACGTGACCTGGTGACCTGACCTAAGGTGACCTGGGTCTGAAATTTTCACAACATGTGCGGAAAAGATGCACGAACAGGTGTGCCAAAAACGGCGGCGCGGAGCGCCGCCGTTTTTGAGATATCTGCGAAAAACCGCAGGGGGGTGTTCAAACACCCCCCCCCCCGGCCCGGCGCGGGTTAATTCGATGTGGCAATAATCTCCCGGCCTCGCTTGATCACTCAAAACATACGATGTCAACTACGCAAGCTACCAAAGCTATTATTACGAGCGAGCGAGCGCAGCGAGCGAAGTGAGTCTTTTCAATATAACGGAAAAATCTCAGTATGAGCGGCCCGGCCCGGCCCGGCCCGGCCCGGCCTGTAACGCTTTTGAGAGGCTTATATCTCAGCAACCGCTGGACCGATTGGCCTGCGGTCTTTTTTGTTGGGTAGCCCCATCCCTTCTACCCCGTAATTGACTACTTTTGATACATCTCAGTGACCGTCGTGGCACGTGCCACGTGAAAAGTCAAGGGTGTTCAAGCTGTTTTGCAAAAGTAGTGATTTTGAGAGGCTCATATCTCAGCAGCCGCTTGGGCGATTGACTTGCGGTAATTTTTGTAGGGTAGCAGCATCCCTTCTACCCAAAATAGGATACTCTCGATGCATGTGGGTCACCCCCAGTGCACGTGCAAAATACAACAATAAGAGGTGCCAAATTTGTTCCCATTTCAGTAACTCGGTAAATACTGGGGAGATTTCGCTGAAACTTGGCATACAGGTAGGCACCCACCAGGCAATGCATTCCCATGTGTTGCGGTTAGGGTGCTACTGCACGTGCGCACGTGCAGGGGGCGTTTCCAGATCTCGAGAACGGCTGGGCCGATTGCGCTCAAATTTGGTACACGGTTGGGGACCGGTTAGTAGGGTGCCGTGCAAAAGTCATTTTGGACCCCGTTTGCACGTGCGCACGTGCAGAATGCCGTTTCCAGATCTCAGGAACGGCTGGGCCGATTGCGTTCAAATTTGGCACACCGCTAGCGACCGGTTAGAAGGGTGCTTTGCACAAGCCCGTTGGAAGTACCCTCTCGCCCTTCCGCACGTGCAGGGCTCACTATCTCGCTCGCTCGTTCTTCGCCCAAAAGGCGTTTTACTGGTTTCAGCAATTCATTCATAATAGAATTGATGCTTAAAATTGAATGATTACGAGCGAGTGAGCGAAGCGAAGTCTTTTTAATATAACGGAAAAATCTCAGTATGAGCGGCCCGGCCCGGCCCGGCCTGTAACGCTTTTGAGAGGCTTATATCTCAGCAACCGCTGGACCGATTGGCCTGCGGTCTTTTTTTGCTGGGTAGCCCCATTCCTTCTACCCCGTAATTGACTACTTTTGATACATCTCAGTGACCGTCGTGGCACGTGCCACGTGAAAAGTCAAGGGTGTTCAGGCTGTTCTGCAAAAATAGTGATTTTGAGAGGCTCATATCTCAGCAGCCGCTTGGGCGATTGTCTGGCGGTAATTTTTGTAGGGTAGCTGCATCCCTTCTACCAGAGGTAAGATACTCTTGATCTATGTTAGGCACCCCCACTGCACGTGCAAAATACAAAAAGAGGAGGTGCCAAATTTGTTCCCATTTCAATAACTTACTTCAGGAACGCTCCATTTCATTTTCAAACAGTTAAGAGCATGATAAGCAAATAATGTAAATTGGGGCGTATTTGGCTCATTTTTGTCTTGATAGGTGCACTTCAAAATGACCGCCTAAAACCGCGATTTTGCGCATGCCAGAATAATTCATGAAACACAATCAACAGTTTTTTCCGTAGATGAACGTGCACATTATGCTTCAGTGCAAAACAGAAAAAGGATGCATCAGTAGTGATTTGTAGCAGTGCCTCACTGTTCTTCAGTACTGATAATAAGGCGCAAGCCAAGAACACACGGAGTAGACCACGTACCTCACACGGCTAATCAATTATATCGGTCTTATGACAGCCATCTCACTGACGTATTACGTTACAGCATATGTAAGAAGGTTACGGCTCCAATTATACATCCTAGCATAGGTGTCGTTTCATATATGACTGCTACTGGCAGGGTCCGATCCCTAAAATAGCCTCCGTACTTCTACATAACTGCTATGGCTTTGAATTCTAAGAATGACATTGATAGTCTCAAATTAGTCCTTGGATACCCACCACATTTTTGAAAAGTGACGCCCTTTAGTTTCACTGCCATGAATGTACACAGGAGTATTAACTTGCTTCACATGCTGTATAAACTAAAGCTTTTTATAGCTTGAGAGAACTACCTCAGACCTCTTACTTTTAACAACTGGTTTCTACTATGATCATATGTAGCGGTACGTTCTCGAGACATGGGAGCGGACTCTGCAGTTGCACACGTGCATAGTGGCACCCTAACCGTGAGAAATGGAATTGCGCTGCCCGGTGGGTGCCCGTTGATATGCAAAGATTTGGAGCAATCGGCCCAGATAAATGGGCCCTGAGTTATTGCAACGGAAATAAGCTTGACATCTATTCACTTTGCACGTGACACGTGCGCCGTGCAGTGGTGTTCACCCACATGTTGTCGAGAACGCACAGACGCGTTTTGCACTCGTACATTTTTGTGTGCAAGCGGTGGCTTTAATCTGTACTGTCTTATAGAAGAATATTCAAACTGAAAATATGTTGCATCTATACCCCCTAAAATGCATTTGTTTGTCTTCGTTCACTTTATGTGTATATTATACTGTTTGCGGTTGAGACTTCTGGTGTCCTGGGTCCGGCGGCCACAGGTCTCATGAAGGAGCTTGGCCGTCGGCTGACGTGCCGCACCGGGGACAAACGAGAAACAGTCTGGCTGGCACAAAGGGTTTCAATCGCTGTGGCAAGGGGCAACGCTGCCTCCGTGCTGGCCACAGCTAAACCAGCAGCGGCCAACAGAACGGGACCGTCACCGACGCCATCGTCCAGGCTGACCCCGAGCATGAGCACTCCGTCAATCGAGGCACCGGATGACGAGTCTGCTGCGGGGCCGCCGCTGGACTCAGTGGCTGACCCACCGGACCACCCACCACCACTGACCCCTGCGGACGGCTGTCGAGAGGAGCTGCGCATGACACGCTCGCGGTCCTCTTCCCTGTGCTGTCCCGGAGCGTGCGCGTGTCCGACTCTCAACAGCAGGTCCAGGATTTGAGCGGACCGTGGCCTGCTCAATGCTCATGTAAAGTGTGAATTTTGTATGCGTTCTGCTCTACACGTAGGCAGTTGATCGCTTTAAGCCGGGGATGTGTGAATCCCATATGTAGGGGAAGGAGGGTGAATTGCGCCACCTTAAGGAAAAACGCTAATTGTAAGAAAACCGCTGGAGATATAAGCATGCACTAGTAACCATTTCAAAGAGGAACTCATTAGCTACGATTTAAGAGCCTCCCGATCAATTAAGAATGTTTCGTTTGCTTCCGACAGCTGCTTTTCAGAAACATGCAAAAGGGCGCATTTACCGACAACTGCTGTAAATTGCGCCAGGGGGATGGCGCAATTAGAATCCAATTGCGCCCTATACTTAAACATGGCTAAGCGAATGAGACGGAATGCATACACCCAGGCAGTGTAATGTCATTGCGGCTTACTTAAACATTTATAATGTTAATCAGGCTGGATAAATAATAAATGTAGATATAAATCGCGATGTTTTTTGCCCAGGTAAATAACTTTACATGTGTCCGTATGTTTGTAAAAGTGCAACGAAAACGTTTTATGTAACCGACTAGATATATGTGAAAGTATGGTCAAATTTTCAATCGTTTCTCTCAAAATTATTAATTTTTATCGTTTCGACAACTTGTTGACATCAGTTTTTACTTTTTGATCATAGCTGTCACCTCTCACGCCCGAGTCCATGTTGAAAATGCCGTATTTTGTCGATTACACCACAAGTTGGCAGCCTAAATGGCAGCTGCATTATAAGTTTGACGAGAGAAATAATTTGCGGACTGGCGACAGCGGGCTGCTCCCCTGCCTGGCACTAAACTCCTTTTTTATTGCAATCAGTTAATGGTGCATTGATATTGTCGTGATACAATAGCTACACCATTATTCTATTTGCGCCCCCATGGCGCAATTGCCATGGGCGCAATTAGAATTGAGGTACTTTTTAATAAAAGCGTAGAAGTTATCATAAATATGCTGAAGGAAGTTTACTGTTTAAGTGAAATATAATGAAAAAATGGGCTTTCTTTCTAAATATCACTCTGAAAATCACACACGTATCACAGATTTTTATAGCCAACGGTTCAAAATACTGCAAAAAAGCTAAGAAAACGCCGTAATATCTTTGATGGCGTAACTGAGCCCTGCTGATTGGCTTCGTCGGAGAGCCTGGGCCATAAAATGAACTATCAGGTGGTGAAAATATTGTTTTCGAACACAAAATTATAAACATGCCATTGAATTCGTGGGAATGTTGGTGGGCGCAATTGGTTTGGAGGGCGCAATACACCCACTTTCCCCTAATGAATAATAATATATTGTCGAGCCCAAGGGCCCATCACAGAAAAAAAAGAAAATTATACTGTTTCTGTTGCAGTTTCTAATGTTTTCTGTCTTGCAGGATTTTGATTTCTAATGTTTGATGTGAAAATGCCTATTGTTACTGGAAGGTCTACATATTTCGTTCAAACTTTTCTCATTAGGTTGAAGTGTTTTAAGGTTATCGAGGATGGCGTTTGTATTCACTCATCACTTCGATAACCCTCGAGCGATCGCTCGCTCGCCTACCAAAAGACCACAGGCACTCGATCTCCAGGCACTCGATCGCTTACCTCCGGTGCCTCTGGATACTCTCTGAGTTCGTTAGACAGCTGGGCGACTATCTCGTTCGAGATGTCCGGTCGAAAGGAGGCGGCCCGCGTCCCGGCCACCATCACTAGGGCCAGCAGCGACAGGGAGCTGCTCCGACACGACGGCATCCCGTCCCGGTGTGTGACCTGCCCGCGCCGCCGCCGACGTTCCCACGACTGGCTCGCCCACCGGCACCGACGCACTCTTATAGCCGTGCGACACGGCGCCGGCGGTCGCGCTGGCATGGGTGAGGAGAGAGAGAGAGAGAGAGAGAGAGAGAGAGAGAGAGAGAGAGAGAGAGAGGGGGGGGGGGAGGAAGGGAGGGATAAGAGCAGCGTAAACAAAGTTCTGCGGGCATATATTGATATTGCTCTGTTCATGACCGAGTGAAGGAGTGTTTGTAGACATAGATCACCGTGTCGTTTTGTAATTATATAGCATACTTGATTGCCAAAAGTTTTAGTGCTCAGCTCATTGGCTATGCCAGATATGCATGTTGCATGTGCATTGAATACTTGGAATGTGACAAACCGGCACCAGTGGCCAAAGTTAAAAAATGACAAGCTTTCGTTTTAACTTCTTTATAGTCATAATTATGTTTGCTTTTAGTTTGATGCTGTAATATTCATACAACTAATTGATATTTTAAGATAATGTGGTCTTGCAGTGCATCAAAGCGCAATAAATGATCATCCCACCCTTTAATCCCCAGACACAAACTGTTCTCTTGAAACGATGTCAAACACCTAAATGTTTCACTCTAAGCTACTTGCATGTATTATTATTCGAGGAAGACTTCACCGAAAGGCTCAAATGCCACGGCGAGTTACTATAATTTATGATGAGCAGCGGAGCCAGAGTTCGCGGGACGGGCGTGACTGCGTAACAATTTGTATAATTTATGTATTTTCACAACATTTGTGAAAATGTATAAAAACATTTGTTTTCAGCTTACAAAATGTCACACAATTATAATGGGGTGAATAAATACCGCGACGGCTAATAAACTGGAGGCTTTCTAATGTTTCTGGACCAATTTTTAATTATATCGGTGGCTTAACATTTTTTGCAACACATAAAGAAAAAATGTAGGTACATAGTGTTATATGGTGACCGATATAAGATGGCCGTTTACATTGAAGTAGTTACTTTGGGTATTTTATATAAATGTGTCGAAATCATTACTCATAGCATCGTCTCATAAAGCCAAAGGACATGTCATCTGAAATTTTATCATGCTTTTCACATCGTGCCTGATTTTGTCACTCATAAAAACAGATATGCGCAGTTTTGCGACCTATCAAGGGACATCGAATAACCAGCCCGCCCTGCATGCCCCCGGGGCAGGCATATCCCGCAAGGTCAAACCGTCAAACCACACTGGCCTCTCGTGTTACACACCACGCTAAGCAATAGCGTGCAGAGAAATTGTCCTGAAGTCCCAGTCCCTGTTGGCACCCCTGCGATCGCGCCGATGAATCATCTAGCCCACGCCTGCACACGGCGCTCACACTTACCGGGAACGGTGGGGACGCGGTGCGCCAGAGGCCACATTTGAGACACTCATGTGATGTCGGTGTCAATGACGGGCGCTCCAGGCGCGGAGGTCGAGTACTGAGAATCGTGCTGGTGAAAAGAAGGATGCTTCTTGCTTGCTTGATGCTTGAAGGTGAAGGAAGGAAGGATGGTGAAGAAGGAAGCTCATGCTTGATTCACCATTGATGGTCGGAAGCTGTCTTTACTCATTTGCTCACTATTAGCCGTTTTCACGATGTTATATCCGGCGAGTGCACCTAATTTGACCAAATCTGCACCTAATCTCTTTTACAGAAAATATTTTCATTTTATTTTTATGAGTTTATTTCAGTGTTTTAATCGATGGTATTGTCTGCTAATATGACAGAGCAGGTATATAAGCAATTAGTACAACCCTAGCTGATAGCTACTAAGAGACACACTGAACCTAATTTGACCAAATCTGCACCTAATCTGCACCAAATGTGCACCAAATGTGTACCAGATGGCCGCCGTGAAAACGGCTATAATGATTTTTTGTGTGAAGGTAAAGCATAAGGTTAGACCGGTGACTGTCAATGCTTACGAGTTTCTTACACGTGTCTACCATGAGCAAGCATTGGAGGTATGATCGGTACATATTTTCCTAAAGAAAACATCTGCTCTGGCATCTAACGCCAGGTTCTTACCTCATGGGTAAGAAAAAACTGTGGCGCATAAAATGGCGAAACTTTGCGTGGCTAATCATGCATAAATTTTCCAACGTGCGTATAATTTTTGACCATCTCACTCAGATCTGATGTATGGCCTCAATATCATAAGGGAATTTAGGACAAGTCAAATTGTTTTAAGTGTCTTGAACAAACGCGTCAAAGGCGCTGGAAATTTTCAGAATCCATGACGTCATTGTCATCTCTACTGATAGGAAATGCAGGATGCCGCTGACAGCCAGCGGTTATTAAAGTCCGATTTTGCTGTTGACCCGACCTTTGAGGTCACCGAATGATCGGGTGCTTAAAACCTCGGGCGGTCGCTTCCTCTTGTGGAGAGCATATCACCTCCTTTGTCCGCATAGATCCACAAAATCATTTGCATAGGTCGATAAGAGTCAAGCTCGAGAGGTCCCTGGCGCCGTCAAAGGACGTAAAGAACGTCCATGCCATCAAAAGGTACTAATCAGTTTACAAGGCATGTATGGATCTGTTTACAGGAGAAGTGTTCACAGTGGACTTTCATTGCATTCAGTGTCATTAACCGTTGATTTTAAAACATTGGTCAGCTAAACGGATGGCTATTGGCTATCGCTCCATCGATTAGGTATCGATTGACAATTGGTCCACCGATGCCCATATTTCAGCTTCAGTCTTCCTGTTCTTTCTAGCAATCATGCATGCCAAATAACTTTAGAGAATAATTGCTGAATGTCTATTGTCTATCGCTGAACTCGTTTCCTGGTATCAATAATTTGATTGATAAAAACACTAACCTTTCGTGGGAAAACAAGTTGGTTTCTACGAGTATGTACTAAAAACGTTTGCACAACCCTTACGGGTTTGTAACATGGAAAACACCAAGGAAAGGGATCTGAGAAGAATTCTTCAAGTGTCGTCTCGTCTTATAATTACGTTCCTATTTTCTTGCAAACAAATCCTTCAGCCATGTGACACTCATTCACATTTCGGATTACCCTTATTTCTATACGTATATATGTTACGGCCCGTTTGAAAACCCGGCCCGTATTAATGCTGCCCGGCCCGCATTAATACTGACCGGAGACCTGGCCCGTATTAATACGGGCCGGTCAGCATTAATGCGGGCCGCCTTGCCGGTCGGTATTAATGCGGCCGATTTAGGTGGGCAGTATTAATGCTGCCCACCTTTTATTTCAAAACTTATCCGTCTGCTGCAAAATCAATTACATTAGCATGTTTTTATAGACGGCGGCTTACTGATAAAAGTTGAATGCCATGTGTAAATATTCGCCAACCCCGCCTCGAACCCACAACCATTCGATTACAAGACCGGAACATATACCCCGAGACTAGCGAACAGATCGAAAGGCAGTGAATTGGGCAAGCAGTTCAAACCAGTGCTCGGCAATGATATGGAACAAAACGTGCTCGAGAAAATAGATGCTATTATACGTGATTAACCCGCGCCCCGCTGGGGGGGGCAGAATCTGCCCCCCTCCCGTTTTTCGCCAATAACTTCTAAACGCGTTACGCCAGCGACGTCAAACTTTCGGTACCTTATCATACATCAATTTGACACGTTCCCTGAAAATTTGAGCGAAATCCGTCGGAAAATGTTTGAGAAATTGACGTTTTAGTGACGTCATGTTCGCCATTTTCGCCTCAAAAACGGCAAAATTTCAAACGCCGCTCACATCTTCATTTTTAAAGAAATCAAGACGTTACAAAAAAAGGTTATGCGTGATTCCACTTTGTCTATCAAATGGCTATCTCGGTTTTTGAAAATTTTGGATTTTGGCCCAAATTTTTTCTCTAAAAAAACTGACTTTTTTGGGAAAATAATTATACAATCCAAAATTTTGAGTGTATAAAAAAACGAAATATATGTCAGAGAAGTGGTCAATGTGCACCTACATAGCAATTTTTTAGAAGAATCGGTTCAAAAATGTGGGAGATATTCAAAATTTTATGACGTCACGACACACAAAAATTTTGAAAAATATTTTTTTTGGAAGTTCTAGACCTCGTACGGAAACCAAAATAGCACCATTCGATTCGCCGTGAAAAACTGCATCAGATAGACACCTTTTTAGGCCTTAAAAACCAATTTCAAAATTTGACCTCACTTGACCTGACCTTGAACTGACCTCAACCTGAAATTTATCCAGAGCTGGTCCATATCACTTATTGAGTGTGCCTATTGAATTCTATGAGTAAAGTGACCCATAAAACATTTGTCGCACATGCCCTTTTCAGTATTTTGTTTTTGGTGACTTGACCTGGCCTGACATGACCTTGACCTTGACCTTTGAATGACATTGTATGCAACGAATATTGCCTTGGTAGTCTAAGAACACGTTTTGGGCAATCAGTCTCAGTCCATTCTTCGGCAACTACGGTGCAAGGCCGATACTGTAGAAACTTGCATTTTGTACCCTTGACCTGACCGTGACCTGACCTCTGACCTACTTAAGCAAAAAAATTGGGCTCTTAAGATCCGCCTTGTTGAGAGCTTTCGATTGCCGTTTTCCCCGTCTTTCTACGACCATCGGTTCGGAAGTTAGACAAGGGGGGCAGAATCTGCCCCCCCAGCAGGGCGCGTATGGCTGAATAGCCCAGCGGGGCGCGGGTTAAAATAGTTCAAAACACCATTTAGAGAAAACAAACGAGGGTTTATCATAATTTTGTAGAGACAACCAGCAATATTCATCTAGACGTTGCCCAGGGTAATAAAAGCAGGTCTAACACATCGCCCAAGGTCACCTCAGGGAGTGCCGACACTGCCGCGCGCCCATTTCTTCCATTACCGCTGGAGGACCGACAGTGAGTATCAGCGTATCACGCATCTGTTTCATTTTCTGATCTTAATAACTAGTGATCATAAAGTGTATGGCAACTTCATTTTGAAAATGTCATAATTCGAGGACTTTAGCACTGATTTCCACTTAACCCTCGCACTTATAGG